TGCTGAGCGCCGCATTGGCTTAGTCATGGAGGTCGCTCGTACCTCCATGATCCATGCGGCTGCCCCTCATTTTCTGTGGCCGTTTGCGGTCCGGTACGCCGCGCATCAGCTCAACCTCTGGCCCCGTGTCTCCTTGCCGGAGACCTCGCCCACACTGCTGTGGACGGGGAAGGTTGGCGATGCGTCGCGTTTCTGGGTCTGGGGTGCTCGTGCCTTTGTCCGCGATACCACTGCGGACAAGCTCTCCGCCCGCGCTATTCCCTGTGTCTTCCTTGGCTTTGTCCCTGACGCGCCTGGTTGGCAATTTTACCACCCCACCTCGCGTCGTGTCTTTGCGTCTCAGGACGTCACGTTCGACGAGTCGGTTCCCTTTTACCGTCTCTTCCCCTACCGCACTGCCCCTCTCCCTCCCCCGCCGCTCTTCCTCGCTCCAGGTGCTCCCCAGGTCGACCCTCTCCCCGCTCCAGGTCCTGCTCCCTCAGGTGTGTCTCAGGTAGACCCTCCTCCCTTCCCTGCGCCGGTTGAGGTCACTGGTGACTCAGGTCCTGCTGGGGGTGGTCCTGCTCGGGGTGCTACTTCTGGGGGTGCTGAGTCTGGGGGTGCTGAGCCTGGGGGTGCGGAGCCTGGGGGTGCGGAGCTTGAGGGTGTAGAGCCTGGAGGTGCTGAGCCTGCGTGTGAGGGGTCTGGAGGTGCTGGAGCTGGTGGTTCTGGGGCTGCTGAGGGTGCGAGCGCTGGAGGTTCTGGAGCTGCTGGAGGTCCTGGTGCTGGTGGCGCTGGAGCTGCTGAGGGTGCTGGCGCTGAGGGTTCAGAGTCTGCTGTTGCGCGGTCTCCTTGGAGTAGCCGCCTTCGTCCACGTGTGCCTCTCACCTCGCAGCAGCTGCACGACTGGTACGGTCGCCGTCAGGGTCGCGCTGCTGGAGCCCGGGGCTCTACTGCTGGAGGTACTTCTGCTGCCGTCCCTGGAGCTAGGAGTGGTGCTGGTACTGTTTCTACTGGAGGTGCTGGAGTCGCTGGTCCCGGAGGTGCTCGTACTGGAGGTACTGGAGCTGCTGGGGCTGAGGGTGCTGCGTCTGGAGGTGCTGCTGCTGGAGACACCGAGGCTGGAGACCCTGGGACTGGAGGTGCTGGTTCTGGGGGTGCTGCTACTGGAGACGTGGAGGCTGGAGACCCTGGGACTGGAGGTGCTGGTTCTGGGGGTGCTGCTGCTGGAGACGTGGAGGCTGGAGACCCTGGGACTGGAGGTACTGGTTCTGGGGGTGCTGCTGCTGGAGGCACTGGGGTTGGAGACCCTGGGCCTGGAGGTGTCGGTTCTGCTGCTGGAGCTGCTGGAGCTGCCGGTACTGGTGCAGCTGCGCCGCCACGACTGTTCTTCGCTCCGCCGTCTCCGTCGTCTCTGCCGCCGCCTGACTCTGTTCTTCGTCAGGTTCTTACTCTCCCGTCGTCTACTGGTCTTCCGTTACAGCCTGGCTCACCGCTGCCTGCTCCTTCTCCTTACACTGAGCAGACAGGTAGTCTTGCTGAGCGTCGTGAGCCTGCGTCGCGTCCTGTCTCGCCTGTTCGTCCTAGTCGTACCGGTCGTCGTGTTCCGCGTCCGCGTTCGCCGCCTGTCCCCACCGCACACCTTGTCGTCCGTCGTCCTTCCTCTGTTCCGCAGTCTGTTTCTCTGCCGTCTCCTCCTGCGTCTTCCTTGCCTCACGTTCCGGACCCTGAGTCTGACCGGTTTCGTGCTGAGCACCCTACTGTCACGCGTCTGCTCGCCACTGTTGTCACTGACCCCTCGTTTGAGTCTGCTGCTGCGACTGCTTTGGTTGCTGAGCTTGTTGACTTTGCGGCTGCCTGTCGTCTAGACTACGCTGCTAGTCTTGTCGCTGAGTCTGAGTCTGTCTGTCCTCCGTCCGTCGGGGGTGAGTGTGCTCTTAGCACGGACGTCCTTGAGGACAAGTACGAGGACCTTGAGTGTCTTGCAGCCGCTGCGCCTCTTGAGACCCGGATGCACTAGACATCCCCACCCCGCGCTCGTACGCTGAGGCGGTCGCGGGTCCCTACTCCTCTCAGTGGCAGGCAGCCATGGACACAGAGATGGCATCCTGGAAGTCCACAGGCACCTACGTCGACGACGTTCCCCCTCCTGGGGCGAACATCGTCAGTGGCATGTGGATTTTCAGGGTGAAGCGGCCGCCTGGTTCTCCGCCTGTCTTCAAGGCACGTTACGTTGCTCGAGGCTTCAGTCAGCGAGAGGGGGTTGACTTCTTCCAGACCTTCTCCCCCACCTCGAAGATGACCACTCTTCGGGTACTGCTGCACGTTGCTGCTCAGCGTGACTACGAGCTTCACTCGCTTGACTTCAGCACAGCTTTCTTGCAGGGCAGCCTGTACGAGGAGATCTGGCTGCGCCGCCCACCTGGCTTCACTGGGACGTTCCCTCCTGGTACCCAGTGGAGCCTCCGCCGGCCAGTCTACGGTCTCCGTCAGGCGCCTCGTGAGTGGCACGACACACTGAGGACTACGCTTGCGGCTCTCGGGTTTGCGCCCTCCACAGCTGACCCGTCACTGTTTCTGCGCACCGACACGTCGCTGCCGCCGTTCTACATCCTCGTGTACGTCGACGACTTGGTCTTTGCCACTGCTGACACTGAGGCTCTCGCCCTGGTGAAGTCGGAGCTGCAGAAGAGACACACGTGCACAGACCTGGGTGAGCTGCGCAGCTACCTTGGCTTGCAAATCACCCGGGACAGAGCACGTCGCACCATCACTCTGACTCAGTCACACATGGTGCAGCAGATCCTTCAGCGCTTCGGCTTCACCTGGTCCTCGGCACAGTCCACTCCTCTGGCTACAGGTCACTCGCTCTCAGCTCCACCTTCGGACGAGTCCGTAGAGCCGACTGGTCCTTACACAGAGCTAGTAGGCTGCCTCATGTACCTGATGACTTGCACTCGTCCTGACCTTGCGTACCCTCTTGGCCTTTTGGCCCGCTACGTGGCTCCTGGTCGGCACCGAAAGGTGCACTGGGATGCTGCGAAGAGGGTACTGCGCTACTTGTGCAGTACATCGGGCATGGGGCTCGTGCTTGGAGGACGGCGAGAGGTGGTCCTCACTGGGCACTCAGACGCGTCTTGGGTTGACGACCAGGCTACGCAGCGGTCGTCACAGGGTTACACTTTCAGCCTCGGCTCTGGTTCTGTTTCGTGGCGTTCTACTCGCTCGTCTTCTGTTCTCAGCTCCAGTTGTGAGGCTGAGATCTACGCCACCGCCATGGCTGCTCAGGAGCTGCGCTGGCTCACGTACCTGCTGACCGACCTGGGAGAGCGGCCTCGTTCTCCTCCAGTTCTGTACGTTGACAACAAGGCAGCCATTGCCTTGTGTGAGGAGCACAGACTGGAGCACAGAACGAAGCACATCGCTCTGCGTTACTTCCTGGCTCGAGAGTTGCAGCAGCGTGGTCAGCTTCGTCTTGCACACGTGGCCACTCGGGCCAATACTGCTGATATATTCACCAAGGCACTTCCGTCTGGTGATCATCAGCGCTTTTGTACCTTGTTGGGCCTTGTGCCTACGTTTCCACACTTGCTGTAGACTCTGTCTGTACTGTGATCTTTATATATATACCTGCATGCTTGCTCTTGCTAGGTAGTGATCACTGTACTTTGTTTGTTGCATATATACCTCTGCATGTGGACTGGCCTTGTGGCCCTTTGCTTGTGCTCAGTCTGTGTGGTGACGTTGTGATCCACCCTGAGCTTGGTTTGTTTCTCTTGACTGGTCTTGTGACCCCTTGTTCTCCCCCACTTTGCCTATGGGGGTGTGTCAAACTATGCATATTGTGTTTGTGTAGGCTGCTAGTGGGGTAGCCCATATGGGGTACAACCCAATGTTAGGGTTAGTTTATGTACCCAACTCTTGATCAATGCATTCATTCTTGTCTCTAGATTCTAACAAGCAGTCTGGTGCAGTAAAGAAGGGGTGAAGCAGCCTGGTGCTGAGTAAGGGGTGCAGCCGCCTGGTGTAGTGCAGGGGAGAGGAGCTGCTGCTTAGAGGAGGGTTGAAGGAGCTGCCAAGGGATGATGGAGGTTTTTAGCCGAATGACCGGCAGTACCCTGCTTTGAGGGTCTCGGTCCGTCAGCAAACCCACTAAGGGGGAGCGGCGGGACGGATTTTTGTCCTCCAATGGCTCGTGCACGAGCCCGCATCTTAAAAAAAAAAAAAAAGGCTACATAGGAACATGTAGCCTGGTGGTGTACATAGTAACTTGTAGCTGTTACAGCTGGTTGTGTATTGAGCTGGTAGTAACACTCACCTGCTATAGCTGATGGTGTATTGAGTGCTCTTAAAGAGTATTGGCTGACCAGTTCTATAGCACAGTAAACTATCAACATCTGAAAGTTGTCTAGGCCCATGCACCTTTGAGAGGGCCTAAGGTGGAAACCAGGATATCATGTTGCTTCAATTGTGGTGCCAAAGACAGGATAATTCATTCCACTGTTCATACACAAATTTTTTTCACTGTATTTTCCATATGAATGGCATTGCAAGGCGGAAACAAGCAAGATACGCATCTTTCAAGAAAGGGGACACACACTGGACAGAGGTTATTGATGTAGTAAACAGAAAGCGTTCCACCAAAGCTTAACGCCACTGTTAGGAGGGTGAGCAGAAGTATGATCTTAATGGGTACATGGCCACGATATGTGTGCATGGGTGGGTCGGCAGGAGCGGATGATGTGTGTGTGGGCCTGATAAGCCATGAGGTGACGGCATCAGAGGGTGGCACGTTGGGAGTGAGAACCACTAGTGAGAACCGCTGGCTAGGTCTACTAGGGCAATACGCATGTATGTTGAGAGGTGATGGTGGTTGGGAGGGATGCATTGCCGCATTGCTGCATGTAACCATGTGACTAGGCGTGTCTCTGAGCACGTGAGCATGTCACCATGCGTCCATGAGCGCATTGACTGCCAGCAACACGTTTGGCCTTCTCACCAATTCCTGCACACACACACGTTCAGATGAACACACACGCACATGCGCACATGCATGCATGCATGTGGTTCATGCACCACATGAAAAACACGTGTGCAGACAAACAGCAAGCAATGGCGAGAGCAAGAAAAGAATGAGCGCGATGGATGTAGCAGCACAGCTCCCCATGCACGTAAGCATGTCCCGTGCCTTGCAGAGGGAAGGGGGAGTGAAGGGGAGTGAAGGGGAGTGAAGGGGAGGGAGCAGTGGATGGATGCAGTGGATGGATGCAGTGGATGGATGCAGTGGATGGATGCAGTGGATGGATGCAGTGGATGGATGCAGTGGATGGATGCAGTGGATGGATGCAGTGGATGGATGCAGTGGATGGATGCAGTGGATGGATGCAGTGGATGGATGCAGTGGATGGATGCAGTGGATGGATGCAGTGGATGGATGCAGTGGATGGATGCAGTGGATGGATGCAGTGGATGGATGCAGTGGATGGATGCAGTGGATGGATGCAGTGGATGGATGCAGTGGATGGATGCAGTGGATGGATGCAGTGGATGGATGCAGTGGATGGATGCAGTGGATGGATGCAGTGGATGGATGCAGTGGATGGACGCAGGGATGCGGTGGATGGATGCAGTGGATGGATGCAGTGGATGGATGCAGTGGATGGATGCAGTGGATGGATGCAGTGGATGGATGCAGTGGATGGATGCAGAGAAGGGGCGCAGAGGAGAAGGGGCGCAGAGGAGAAGGGGCGCAGAGGAGAAGGGTAGGAGAGGTGAAGGGGAGGAGAGGTGGTTGATCCCCTTGCAGCAAGAGCAGATATGAGCAGAGATGAGCAGCTAGATGAGCAGCTAGATGAGCAGCTAGATGTAGCAGCACATCTCCCCATGCTATTTTCCATTGCATGCATGATGTGAAGGATGATTGGAACACACCTGGCGGATGGCATGTGAGGGAACACACCTGGTGGATGGCATGTGAGGGAACACACCTGGCGGATGGCATGTGAGGGAACACACCTGGCGGATGGCATGTGAGGGAACACACCTGGCGGATGGCATGTGAGGGAACACACCTGGCGGATGGCATGTGAGGGAACACACCTGGCGGATGGCATGTGAGGGAACACACCTGGCGGATGGCATGTGAGGGAACACACCTGGCGGATGGCATGTGAGGGAACACACCTGGCGGATGGCATGTGAGGGAACACACCTGGCGGATGGCATGTGAGGGAACACACCTGGCGGATGGCATGTGAGGGAACACACCTGGCGGATGGCATGTGAGGGAACACACCTGGCGGATGGCATGTGAGGGAACACACCTGGTGGATGGCATGTGAGAGAACACACCTGGAGGATGGCATGTGAGGGAACACACCTGGCGGATGGCATGTGAGGGAACACACCTGGCGGATGGCATGTGAGGGAACACACCTGGCGGATGGCATGTGAGGGAACACACCTGGCGGATGGCATGTGAGGGAACACACCTGGCGGATGGCATGTGAGGGAACACACCTGGCGGATGGCATGTGAGGGAACACACCTGGCGGATGGCATGTGAGGGAACACACCTGGCGGATGGCATGTGAGGGAACACACCTGGCGGATGGCATGTGAGGGAACACACCTGGTGGATGGCATGTGAGAGAACACACCTGGAGGATGGCATGTGAGGGAACACACCTGGCGGATGGCATGTGAGGGAACACACCTGGCGGATGGCATGTGAGGGAACACACCTGGCGGATGGCATGTGAGGGAACACACCTGGCGGATGGCATGTGAGGGAACACACCTGGCGGATGGCATGTGAGGGAACACACCTGGCGGATGGCATGTGAGGGACCTGGCGGATGGCATGTGAGGGAACACACCTGGCGGATGGCATGTGAGGGAACACACCTGGCGGATGGCATGTGAGGGAACACACCTGGCGGATGGCATGTGAGGGAACACACCTGGCGGATGGCATGTGAGGGAACACACCTGGCGGATGGCATGTGAGGGAACACACCTGGCGGATGGCATGTGAGGGAACACACCTGTCGGATGGCATGTGAGGGAACATGCGGCAGCACCTCCTCCACCTGCGCCACCATCGCTGCCATTCTCTCCTCATCCACTCCCATCCGCATCCCCATCCCCCATCCCCCCGCTCCCCCTCGTGCACCTTCCCCCACTCCCCCCCGTGCACCTTCCCCTCCCCCTCCCCACAGGCTCCACCCTCTCCGCCTGCCCCTCACCTCCTCCCCTCCTCCTCCTCCCGCCACTCCCCCCCTCTCTCCCGCTTCCCCTGCTTCTCCCCCTCCTGCCGCTGCCCCCCCTCTTGGTTGCACAGGCGCGCCCCCTTCCCCTCCTGCCCCCCCTCCCCCTGTCCCCCGTTCTGCCCCACTGCCTGCCCCCTCTTCCCCCGCATGTCTGAACCTCCCACTCACCCCTCTGAACCGCATTCCCCTTAGCGAAATGGAAGAGGAGAAAAATCGGCCTCCCCCAATCCCCCTCTCTCCCCCTTCCTGCCGCTCCCCTCCCCCCATCCCCCCACCGCCACCCTCCCCACGCTGCCCCTCTCCCCCCTGACCTCCGCCATGCCCTCCCCTTGCTCCCTCCCCCTGGCCTGCATCCCCACCCCACACCCGATCCACTCCCCTCCCCACATCCCCCCCTCCCCCTTGCCCCCACCCAACCCCCCAAGCAGCCTCCTGAGCCGGCCGATTCGCAGCAACCCCAGCAGCAGCAGCAGCGGGGGGGGGCTGGGGCGGAGGGGAAAGGGACGAGAGCCCGTTGGGGGGGAGGCTATCAAGCGGGCGGCGGCAGGTGGGGCAGGAGTAGGGCGCTTGAGACCCGTGCTCTAGCCAACTGCGCAGGCACGACAGGTGAAACAGGTGCCCGCAGGGGAGACGCTTTGCGGACGACAGCGGCTCGCGGCAAATGGCACAGTCGTCTGCAAACGCGGTGATCTGCGCTGGCGTGGCGTCCGGGAAGGTGGAGCGGAGGAGGCGGAGGGCGGCGTGCCAACGAAGGAAGCCGGCCACGCGCTTGGAGAGGGCGGCGAGGAGTGTCCGTATGTTGAAGACGAGAACGAGGTCGATGACTGAGAAGGAGAAGCCTCGGATGAGAAGGACGAGCACGCAGTGCGCAAGGGTGAGGAGCGTGGAAGAGGCGTCTGCTGTGAATGCCACGTTGAATAGCAGCCAGGAACGCAGCTCCGCCCACTCACAGGATGCCAAGAGAGCTGCGAGGGAGGGGGAGGGTGGGGGTGAGAGAGGGAAGGTAATGAGGGCGGGTAAGAGGAGATGCAAGAGAAGCGAAAGGGAAGGGGAAAGACGAGGGAGAGAGGTGAGTACTGAGTGATTTGAGAAGCTGCTGTGACCAAAGCAATCAGACCTTTCCAACCACCCTTCAACCCACCTCTAGCCACCTCAGCTCCTCACAGATGGACCCACAATCCGTAACGGCATCATCCAGCTCTCCCTCTCACCACCCCAGCTCCCCACAGGTAAACCTCGCCCATGAAGCCCTCACATCACATCACATCACATCGCATCGCATCGCATCGCATCGCATCGCATCGCATCGCATCGCATCACATCACATCACATCACATCACATCACATGACATCACATCACATCACATCACATCACATCACATCACATCACATCACATCACATCACATCACATCACATCACATCACATCACATCACATCACATCACATCACATCACATCACATCACATCACATCACATCACATCGCATCACATCACATCACATCCCATCGAATCGCATCACATCGCATCGCATCGCATCGCATCGCATTGCATCGAATCACATCACATCACATCACCATGCCAGCACTCCCTCCCCTATCCACCCCATCTCCTAGCAGGTAAACCACGAGTGCTCAGAGCATGAGGCGAGCAGGCCTTACAGGGGAGCGGCAGCGCGGGGGGTAGGTGTGCAGCGAGGAGGTCCGAGTGGGCCTCGAGCAGATGCACGCAGTAGTGCAGCAACGTCTGATCATTTAGAGGGGGGGAAATGACAAGGAGGGGGTATGGGAGAGTGGGGGGGGAACGGAAAGGGAGGAGTGGGGAAACATCTGAGAGGAGTGCAGCAACGTCTGATGATGGGGGGGGGGGGGGGGATGACCGGGAGGAGAAAAGGGGGGTCGGAAACGGGGAGGGAGGAGAAAAGGGGGGTGGGAGACGGGGAGGGAGGAGAAAAGGGGGGTGGGAAATGGGGAGGGAGGAGAAAAGGGGGGTGGGAAATGGGGAGGGAGGAGACGGGGCCAGAGCAGCGAGGAGGCGAGGGTGGGCCTCGAGCAGATGCACGCAGTAGTGCAGCAACGTGTGGTGTTGGAGGAGGGGTTGATGGGGAGGAGGAACGGGAGGGTGGGTGGGCGGAAATGGGGAGGGAGGGGTGGGGGAAACATGAGAGAGGAAGTCTTGAGTGAACGATGTCTGGGGGGCGGGGGGGATGGGCGACCGGAGATGGGGAGGAGAATCTGGGTTGGATGGGGGGATGGGATGGTGAGGCTGGCGGAATGGGGATATTGGGGGATGGAGCATGGGAGCGAGCATGGGGGCATGGGAGCGAGCATGGGGGCAAGGGAGCGAGCATGGGGGCAAGGAAGCGAGCATGGGGGCATGGGAGCGAGCATGGGGGCAAGGGAGCGAGCATGGGGGCAAGGGAGCGAGCATGGGGGCAAGGGAGCGAGCATGGGGGCATGGGAGCGAGCATGGGGGCATGGGAGCGAGCATGGGGGCAAGGGAGCGAGCATGGGGGCAAGGGAGCGAGCATGGGGGCATGGGAGCGAGCATGGGGGCATGGGAGCGAGCATGGGGGCATGGGAGCGAGCATGGGGGCAAGGGAGCGAGCATGGGGGCAAGGGAGCGAGCATGGGGGCATGGGAGCGAGCATGGGGGCAAGGGAGCGAGCATGGGGGCAAGGGAGCGAGCATGGGGGCATGGGAGCGAGCATGGGGGCATGGGAGCGAGCATGGGGGCAAGGGAGCGAGCATGGGGGCAAGGGAGCGAGCATGGGGGCATGGGAGCGAGCATGGGGGCATGGGAGCGAGCATGGGGGCATGGGAGCGAGCATGGGGGGCAAGGGAGCGAGCATGGGGGCAAGGGAGCGAGCATGGGGGCATGGGAGCGAGCATGGGGGCAAGGGAGCGAGCATGGGGGCAAGGGAGCGAGCATGGGGGCATGGGAGCGAGCATGGGGGCACGAGTGGTGCTGTCCTGCGTGGTGTCGATGGCAATGATGAGTGGCTCGTATGCAAATGACAGCCCCACTGACGGGGCGGGCACGGGCGCACGGGACACGGGGTGATGTGATGGGGACATAGGGGCATGTCTGCAGTGACATAGGGGCATGTCTGCAGTGACATAGGGGCATGTCTGCACTGACATAGGGGCATGTCTGCAGTGACATAGGGGCATGTCTGCACTGACATAGGGGCATGTCCGCACTGACATAGGGGCATGTCTGCAGTGACATAGGGGCATGTCTGCACTGACCTGCATGGTGTCCATGGCAATGACAAGCGGCTCGTAGGCAAAGAGCAGCCCCACGGAGAGGACATGGGGGCAGGGGAGTGAATTTAACAGCGGTGGAATGTACGAGGCGGAGGAGATCACAGTTGCACTGACCTGCGTGGTATCGATGGCAATGACAAGCGGCTCATAGGCGAATAGCAGCCCCACGGAGAGGGTACGGGTGCACGGAGGGATGGAGGTGAAAGTAGACTCTCTCCTTGTTGGTACCTGGGGGGCTGGGGCTGTGCTGACCTGCGTGGTATCAATGACAATGACGAGCGGCTCGTAGGCGAACAGCAGCCCCACGGAGAGGCGCGGCCAGGGAGACATGACATTGCGCGAGGCAGAGGGCGAGGAGGCGGGGGACGCCGGGGCGAAGAAGGGGAGTAGACACACGGCCCTGGGGGGGATGGAGGGGAGGAAGTGGGAGAGGAGAGGTGAGAATCTGGGAGGAGAGGTGCGTGGGCGTGAGAGAGGGGGGAGAGGTGGGTGGGCGTGAGAGAGGGGGGAGAGGTGGGTGGGAGTGAGAGAGAGGGGAGAGGTGGGTGGGACTGAGAGAGGGGGGAGAGGTGGGTGGGATTGAGAGAGGGAGAAGAGGTGCGTGGGCGTGAGAGAGGGGGGAGAGGTGGGTGGGAGTGAGAGAGGGGGGAGAGGTGGGTGGGAGTGAGAGAGGGGGGAGAGGTGGGTGGGAGTGAGAGAGGGGGGAGAGGTGGGTGGGATTGAGAGAGGAGGGAGAGGTGGGTGGGAGTGAGGAACATGGCAAGAGGACAGGCACATGATGCATGGCAAGAGGACAGGCACATGATGCATGGCAAGAGGACAGGCACATGATGCATGGCAAGAGGACAGGCACATGATGCATGGCAAGAGGACAGGCACATGATGCATGGCAAGAGGACAGGCACATGATGCATGGCAAGAGGACAGGCACATGATGCATGGCAAGAGGACAGGCACATGATGCATGGCAAGAGGACAGGCACATGATGCATGGCAAGAGGACAGGCACATGATGCATGGCAAGAGGACAGGCACATGATGCATGGCAAGAGGACAGGCACATGATGCATGGCAAGAGGACAGGCACATGATGCATGGCAAGAGGACAGGCACATGATGCATGGCAAGAGGACAGGCACATGATGCATGGCAAGAGGACAGGCACATGATGCATGGCAAGAGGACAGGCACATGATGCATGGCAAGAGGACAGGCACATGATGCATGGCAAGAGGACAGGCACATGATGCATGGCAAGAGGACAGGCACATGATGCATGGCAAGAGGACAGGCACATGATGCATGGCAAGAGGACAGGCACATGATGCATGGCAAGAGGACAGGCACATGATGCATGGCAAGAGGACAGGCACATGATGCATGGCAAGAGGACAGGCACATGATGCATGGCAAGAGGACAGGCACATGATGCATGGCAAGAGGACAGGCACATGATGCATGGCAAGAGGACAGGCACATGATGCATGGCAAGAGGACAGGCACATGATGCATGGCAAGAGGACAGGCACATGATGCATGGCAAGAGGACAGGCACATGATGCATGGCAAGAGGACAGGCACATGATGCATGGCAAGAGGACAGGCACATGATGCATGGCGAGAGGACAGGCACATGATGCATGGCAAGAGGACAGGCACATGATGCATGGCGAGAGGACAGGCACATGATGCATGGCAAGAGGACAGGCACATGATGCATGGCAAGAGGACAGGCACATGATGCATGGCAAGAGGACAGGCACATGATGCATGGCAAGAGGACAGGCACATGATGCATGGCAAGAGGACAGGCACATGATGCATGGCAAGAGGACAGGCACATGATGCATGGCAAGAGGACAGGCACATGATGCATGGCAAGAGGACAGGCACATGATGCATGGCAAGAGGACAGGCACATGATGCATGGCAAGAGGACAGGCACATGATGCATGGCAAGAGGACAGGCACATGATGCATGGCGAGAGGACAGGCACATGATGCATGGCAAGAGGACAGGCACATGATGCATGGCGAGAGGACAGGCACATGATGCATGGCGAGAGGACAGGCACATGATGCATGGCAAGAGGACAGGCACATGATGCATGGCGAGAGGACAGGCACATGATGCATGGCAAGTGGACAGGCACATGATGCATGGCAAGAGGACAGGCACATGATGCATGGCGAGAGGACAGGCACATGATGCATGGCAAGAGGACAGGCACATGATGCATGGCAAGAGGACAGGCACATGATGCATGGCAAGAGGACAGGCACATGATGCATGGCAAGAGGACAGGCACATGATGCATGGCAAGAGGACAGGCACATGATGCATGGCAAGAGGACAGGCACATGATGCATGGCAAGAGGACAGGCACATGATGCATGGCAAGAGGACAGGCACATGATGCATGGCAAGAGGACAGGCACATGATGCATGGCAAGAGGACAGGCACATGATGCATGGCAAGAGGACAGGCACATGATGCATGGCGAGAGGACAGGCACATGATGCATGGCAAGAGGACAGGCACATGATGCATGGCGAGAGGACAGGCACATGATGCATGGCAAGAGGACAGGCACATGATGCATGGCAAGAGGACAGGCACATGATGCATGGCGAGAGGACAGGCACATGATGCATGGCAAGAGGACAGGCACATGATGCATGGCAAGAGGACAGGCACATGATGCATGGCGAGAGGACAGGCACATGATGCATGGCAAGAGGACAGGCACATGATGCATGGCAAGAGGACAGGCACATGATGCATGGCGAGAGGACAGGCACATGATGCATGGCAAGAGGACAGGCACATGATGCATGGCAAGAGGACAGGCACATGATGCATGGCGAGAGGACAGGCACATGATGCATGGCAAGAGGACAGGCACATGATGCATGGCAAGAGGACAGGCACATGATGCATGGCAAGAGGACAGGCACATGATGCATGGCAAGAGGACAGGCACATGATGCATGGCAAGAGGACAGGCACATGATGCATGGCAAGAGGACAGGCACATGATGCATGGCAAGAGGACAGGCACATGATGCATGGCAAGAGGACAGGCACATGATGCATGGCAAGAGGACAGGCACATGATGCATGGCAAGAGGACAGGCACATGATGCATGGCAAGAGGACAGGCACATGATGCATGGCAAGAGGACAGGCACATGATGCATGGCAAGAGGACAGGCACATGATGCATGGCAAGAGGACAGGCACATGATGCATGGCAAGAGGACAGGCACATGATGCATGGCAAGAGGACAGGCACATGATGCATGGCAAGAGGACAGGCACATGATGCATGGCGAGAGGACAGGCACATGATGCATGGCAAGAGGACAGGCACATGATGCATGGCAAGAGGACAGGCACATGATGCATGGCAAGAGGACAGGCACATGATGCATGGCAAGAGGACAGGCACATGATGCATGGCAAGAGGACAGGCACATGATGCATGGCGAGAGGACAGGCACATGAGCATTCGAAAGGTTTGCAACTCGGGCCCTGCTTTGGGCGCAAAGGAGCAAGGCACGGAAAGAATACCGTCCTTGTTGGCACACGACACTCACAGCAGCAGGTTGGCGAGCAGCACGAGGAGCAGCAGCGCGAGCGTGCGCAGGTGCGAGGATGGGCGCGCGGATGGTGAAGCACTCAGACGTTGCGACCGCTCCTTGCCCACCACTCCGAACATCTGAAAGGAGGGGGGGGGGGGGGGGGGGGAGAGAGGAGGACGGATGGGGTGGTGGTGGGCGGCAATTGGGGGAACGGGTGAGACGGATGAGACGGAAGAGACAGGAGCGATGGGTGACATGCGTGAGATAGGTTAGACTGGCGAGATGGCAAGTGAGAGATTTGGATGGGGGACAAGAGCCGTGGATGGGACCAATGGATGTTGTGAGGAGGGGGGGTTGAGGAAGAGGGGAAAGGAGAAAAAGACATGGGAGAGGGAAAGGCGGGAGCGAGAAGGGGAACGAGTGGGACATGGCATGTAAGGGTTGGCTGACAGGTTAGCCACAAGGCCTTTAATAGAGAAGTCTGGGCGGAGGACTCACCTTGATGGCGGTGACAGCAGCGAACCACAGCAGCCACACGGGCTGCACAACCAGCACGTCTACCAGCGAGAGCAACAGCAGCAGCTGCAGCGAGGAGGGAGGAATGGGGAAGGAGCAAGACGGGGTATGTTAAGGTTCGCTGGGACAAGGGAGCGACCACACGGGCTGCACCACCAACACGTCCACCAGCGATAGCAGCAGCAGCAGCTGCAACGAATGGAGGGGAGGGAGAAGGGGGGGGTGCATAAGCAAGGGGCGCAAGGGGACCTGGGAAGAGGGGACGGGGGAACGGGGAAGGATGGTGGTGGCAAGGGTTGAAGCGGCGATGATGCGGCTGTGAGGGGAGAGGCGGAACGAGATGGCGCGTTGGCGCAGCCATTGGCGGAAAGGCAATCTCGCCTTGAAGGGGAACTGCGTATCGCCTCAAATGAGACGCGAAGGAACAGCGGGAAAGGAAAACTCACGTGCTGGATGAGTCACAAGTAACACAACCAAAGGAGGACTGACCTTGAAGGAGAAGTGCCCAATGAGTCGCTCCGCCAGCTTGTGCATCTCCAACAGCGATAGCTCGCCCAGAAACAACTCCTGCTCACCGCACAGCACCGCGAGCACGGAGGGTCACGCCACAGCGGACAGGGGCACAAGTGGGGAGAGTGGACGAGAGTTGAAAACCGACAAGCATAACTTACTCATATCACTCTCCTGCTCCCTACTCCCGTCTCTTCTCAACCTTCTCTCTTCCCCTTCTGCGCTCCTTCCTATACCTTCTCCCCCCTCTCCTCCTCTCTTTCCCCTTTCCCCACCCCTCTTCATCCCTCGCCCCCCTGCGCGCACCTTAGCGCCGACGACGCCGAGCAGCAGCGCGCAGAGCAGCAGGTTGTAGAGCGCGGCGGCGGACTCCACGGACTCCGACATGTGGCGGAACGACGCCAGCCACAGCGCCGACGCGTCCACCGCCAGCCCCTCAGATGCCGCCACGTGTCCCGCTCCCGCCTGCTCGCTCCCCTGCCTCCCTTCCGCCGCAGTCACCTCGCCTCCCTCCGCCCGCGCGCCCTCCCGCTCCGCGCTGCCACTCCCTGCAGCGGTCGCCGCCGCCGCCACCACCGCCGCCGCCGGCTGCTCCGCTGACGCCTCGGAAATCTGCGCAGCGGATGCCGCCGGGGCCGGAGGATGCGCATGCAGCTGCGCCGGCGGGAGCGGCGCAGAGGCGGGCCATTGGCGGGCGAGCGAGTGCGCCCCGTGCTGCAGGTGCGCGTGCATGATGTTGAGGTGCAGCCCGAAACACACGGCGCTCAGCGCCGCGTACGCCGCCAGCGCGCCCGCCACCCACACGCGCGACATCGCTCCGCCCCTCCCCGCGCCCGCTCCACTCAACTCCCTCCGCCTCGTGCCGTGGCGCGCCCGCTAAACAATATCCCGACGACTGTAACACCTGCTAATCGCTGCTAGTGGTTGCTAGATTGTTTCAACGCGGATGTCCTACGACGTATCGCCATTCTGCTGGTAAAGGCGGCCTTCCTAACATCGTTCGCGCAGCTCCTCGTTTTAGCAGCGACCGTCAGCGACAGCAGGGTATATTCCTAAAGGCTATCGCTGTGGCGACAACAGGCGACAACAGGCGACGACGGCCATGGGCACGACGTTACAAACGACCCTCAACGACTCAAACGACCGCGCGCACGCGAGAAGATAACACGTCACGTCACGCGGTAAGCGACACTCACCGGAACCGTGGCAAGCGGTAAGGCAGCTCACGTAACGAACGAGACGGCGGGACGGATAGACGACACGCTACGCACTACAGGATGTACAAAGCCGCATCCCCATCGATATCGCAGAGTAGGATCCAAGGGTCAAAGCTAAAATTTCTGTCGGTTCTCAGGTGTGTCTGGGCTGGATGTTGGCGCGGGGAGGTAGAGAGCGCAAGCGAGTCCGTTCTAGCCTGCACAATTGCACCTCACACACACCGCACTCCATCCATCCCTGCCCTAGCGTTCCCCACGACTGCTGTCGAAGAGAAGCGGCAGAGCGGAGGAACCCAACCCAACCCCACCGACCGCACCCTTGACCCTGGGATTATCGCGCACCAGTACAGTAACATCTTTCCCCCCTCAACTTCTTTCCGCAGGGGTCAAGTTCCCGCCAATGGAGCTTCAGCCCACGAGGCAGCCATGCGCTCGGTCCCGCCCGCCCGACCTCGGAGGAGCTGGCTGGTTGGGAATCCCGCCGTGCCGCCCAGGTTGCGACACACACACTGCTCATGCGAAACTTTTCAAGAGCAGCTGGATGGCCCAGTCACGAAGGTTATGCGACGCTGTTGGGTGATTGAGCCAATCCGGTGAATCGTCCACGTTCGCACGACCACTCTGCTCGAGGGACCGTGCGTTTCGTCAGAGAAAAACGATTTCGGTGGAAAAGCTGAGACCGAAACTTGGTATTGACAGCATCGTAATTCTATGCAAAAGAATTTAGTGCTTCATTCTGAAGCACTAACACTACCTAACCTAATATAGCACCTAGATTATGCCAACAAGAGAGGTCTAAAGCAACGAGCGCGTTGCCTAGGTGCCTCTAGGTTGGAGATAAGGTGCTGGCATATGCGAGCAATGCATGAATTTATGCGGGTGAGCATATCATTGTTAGACAGGGCAGACGAAGAGAGCGTCGATTGGCAGAAATGAACGATGTCACGCAGGTCAGAAGCCGACAAGTCAGTGCGTTTGCACGCAGCCTGGTGCACAAGCGATGCAGAGCAGAGAAACACAGCAGAGAGTCAGAAAGTAAGACACACGCAGCGTCAGTGCCTTGTACGCTACGCAATGAAAGAACACGACAGTCAGTCCAACAGGTGGTAAGAGCACTGAACAATCACAGTACCTGAACGAGCAGCAGAGAAGCGAGGCATTGTTGCATGACCGTCTGCACATCCCCCGCACCAGAATCCCGAACCTGCCCCTCCGCACCTCCACTGCCACAGCCTTCCCTCTTCTCCTCCTCCCCTCCGCGCTCCTCCCTCTCCCTCTTCCCTGCTTCATGCAGCCCCCCATTCCCTGTCCCCCCATTCCCCAATCCACCAGTGGTGCCAGCAGCACACGCAGTGCTGGCTGGAGGGGAGGTGGGGAAGCGGGAGGCGGGGGGCCGGAGGGTGTGAGGAGGGGGTCTGGCCTTGGTGGTGGACGACCGGTGCGGGCTGATCACATGCCCTGCTGCCCCCGCTGCTTCACCATCTGCTGCTGCTGCTGCTGCTGCTGCTGCCGCTGCTACTGGTGTGGGTGCGGTGGCAGGGGGGAAAACAGGCAGGGTGGTCGATGGGGAGGCGGGGGGAATGGAGGGAGGACTGGCAGAGGATGGTGGGGAAGGGGAGACGAGCACACGGTGGTGCTCTGGGGAGACAGCTAGTGAGGGGGCCGGCACAGCAGCTGGGTTTTCTGGTACAGTGGCAGGACGAGTGGGTGCAGTGGGTGGGGGAGCAGGTGCAGTGGCGCTCTCCTTGTGCTGGGCTCCACCATCCCCTTCTCTCCTCTCGCCTTCCCCTCCCACCGCTGCCCCTGCTATCACACTGCCATCGCCACCTGTTGCAGCGCCTGCGGAACCCCCCCTTGCGACTGCGGCAGCAGCAGTAGCAGCAGCAGCAGCGGCAGCAGCAGCGTCAGCACCAAAGCGGGTACGAGTGTCGGCAGCAGCAGCGGGTGGAGCAGCAGCACGGGCATCGAGGGCATCTCGGCCGGTGGTGACAGCATCGGCGTCAGAGCCCCCTGTGGTGCCCGTCGTCACTGACAGCCCCCCCTCCTCCGACGCACACAGCAGCCCCCTCGCCCCCACCCCCTCCTCCCACCGCCCCCCTGCTACCCCTGGCCCCCCTGCTCCTCCTCGCCCTGCTGCTCCACCCTCTACCCCTTGCACCGGGCAGGGATGCTTGCCAGGGCTTCTCAAGGCGGGTCCCTGGGGGGTGAGCTGCAGCAGGCGGTAGCGCGAGGCGTGGGGAGGTGGGGTGCTGGCAGGGTGGGGCGCAGGGCGCACGGCGTATGGAGGAGCCGGTGCAGGGTGTTTTGATGCGGTGTGGTGCGGTTCAGTGCGATGTGGCACGGTGCCTGCATCAGCTGCAGCTGCAGCAAATGGGGCCGGAAGGGTGGCAGGTGAGGGTGATGGGTGGTGGTGTTGTTGCTCTGGTTGCTGCTGATTCGCCTGCAGTGCTCCTTGTGGTTGCCGTGACTGCATCATTGGAGCAGTAGCGGGAGGAGCAGAGGGAGCAGCGGGGAGAGCAGCAGGAGTAACAGTAGTGGGAGGGACTACAGCAGGTGGAGGGATGGAGGTGGGTGGAGCTGAGGGGAACTGTGGTGGGGGGAATTGTGGCGGGGGAAGAGAGGAGAGAGCATGCGAGAGGAGCAGGGAGGGGTCAGCGCCAGGGGGGCAGAGGGAGAGGGCGTGCAGGGCAGCAGACACCATGGCATGTGCCGTGTGCTGTGCCTCTCCTATTATCTGCTGCACACCCGCTGACACCGCCCCACCTGCTACCGCCTCCTCCCCTCCCACTGCCCTCCCTCCCCCGCCCACCACCCCTTGCCCCTCCTGCTCCATCTTCCCCCCTTCCCCTCCGCCCGCACCCCCTTGTCTCCCCTGTCTGGCCTCTGCTCCTACCCCTACAGCCCTGCCCGGGTCATCCCACCGCGCCTCGCCTTTGCCCTCCTTCTGTGCCTCCCCCACCAGTTCTCCCATCTGCCCAACCCCGTCCACTGCTGGCGCTGTTGTCGCTGCTGCTGCTGCCGCCAGTGCCACCGCTGCTGGTGCTGGTGCTGGTGCTGGTGCTGGTGCTGGTGCTGCTTCTGATACTGCTGTTAGTGCTACTGCTTGAGCTGCTATCGGTGCTGCTGCTGCTGCTGCTGCTGCTGCTGGCGCTGCTGCAGGCACCACAACCGGTGCAGGGGCAGGGGCTCTCAGGAAGTGCGGCGGAGGTGGGGGGGGAATGGTGGGTGGGAGGGAAAGCGGAGGAAGCGAGGGGGCTTGGGGAGGTGGCGGAATGAGAGGAGGGAGGCGCAGAGGGGCGTTGGCGAGCGCAGTGTGGGAGGAGGAGGCAGTGAGGAGGCGAGCAGCGGAGACGAGGGGGGAGGGGATGGGGGAGGCAAGGAGAGGGGGGGCAGCGGGGGAGGGCAGCAGGCGGTGAGTGGGGTGGGGGGAGGGGAGGAGGGAGGGCGAGGGGCGGGTGAGGGCCGGATGGAGGAAGCGGTTGCGACTCCTGAGGGCTTGCAGGGCCTCGTCCAACTGAGGGGGCATGAGAGGGGCATGGTGGCATGGCATGGGGAGATGCATGAGATGAGATGGGTGCATTGCATGACAAGTGACGCATAGAAAGGTGGGGGTGTGGTGGGTGGCGATGGCTGCGTGAGGCACGAGGGAAGGAGAAGGGTGAATACGTTGTAAGGCATGCAAGATACGCCTTGCATTGCACCTATCACCACTGCTCACCTGCTTGTCCGTGTCCCTGAGCTGCAGCAGCACCACGGCATACTGCCGCTGAAACGACTCATCCAACCCCACCCCTCCCTCCGCCACACGTCCTGCCTGGGTCCCCTCTGCCTCTGTCCCTTGCAGCACCCCCAGCTGCCCCTCTGCATGCGCGTTGAGCCACTGCAGCTCCGTCAGCAGCGCCGCCTGGGGGAGAGCAGCACGGAGAACAGGGAGAGAAGGGCGGGACGGGACGCATGACACGGATGGCAGTCGGCAAGGGAGACAAGGGCAGAGAAAGGAAGGGGAAGGAACAACAGGGGATGAATGGGATTTGAGTTAGTACGCACACCGGTAAAAGATTTCAAGCTCTTGCTGCACCTCCCCCACAGCCACACGGTCACCTTGTTGTGCTACAAGGAGAACTCTCACGAATCCCCTCAGCATCGGCCCTCACCTTCTTGTCGCAGCAGCGTGCCACCTCCACCACAGCCCGCATATCCTGCTCCCTTGTTGAAGTGATATGCCCCGAATCAACCCCTGATAAAATCCCCTCTGAGAATCCCCTCTATCTCACTCACCTTCTTGTCGCAGCAGCGAGCCACCTCCACCACAGCGCGCACATCGTGCTCCCTTGACTGCCCCGCCTCCCCCGGACTCCCCGCCCCCACCGGCGGGGCAGGCAGCGGCCTGTGCATGGGCGTCTTGAACGGCTCTCCCACTGCAGCCGCGGTAGCAGCAGGAGCAGCTGCTGCAGCGGCAGCAGCAGGCGCAATGACAGCAGTGGCAGCAGCAGGGGCAGGAGGCGGAGGGGAGAGGCAGCCGTTGAGATCCAAGTGACCTGGCCTGCCCTGCCATGCCTGCCCGCCCTGCCATGCAAGCGGCGACGGGTGTATGCCATCCATACTGTGCACTGCTGGGTGTGAGCCTTGCATGGCCTGCTGTGGCAGGTTCATCACGCCATGCACGCCATGCAGGGGCAGCACATCCACGTCCACATCAGCCACCGCATGTGTGCCCAGCTGCCCCTCCTCAAACCGCACCACCATCGCCTCCCCTCCCCCCCACCCCTCCCCCTGCCCCAGTCCTCCCTCCCTTCCCCGCGCAGGCCCCACGCCCACCACCCTGCCTGCTGCCACCACGGCCGTGCCTGGGTGCACTGCCAGTACCGCCTCCCCCACTCGCACATGCCCCCCACCACCACCACCAGCAGCAGCGCCCACAGCGCTACCAACAGCAGTGGCGGCAGCGGTGGCGAGGGCAGCGCGGGCGGCAGCGCGGAAGGCGTTGAGGTTGGCCCGCTCCTCTGCCAGGAAGGCGGGGGAGAGGCGGCGCGGCTTGCCCATGGCGCTGGGGGGATGGGAGAGGAGGGGGAAGGGGGGGGGGATGGGCAATGGGTGGGTTGAGAGGGGAGGGTTGAGGGAGGCGTGGAGGGAGGGGAGTGTGTGCATGGAAAATGATGTGAGAGCGAGCATGAAGCCAAGGGGATGGAGAAGGGTAGAAGAGCGAGGGGCGAAGGATAGGCAGGCTCACAGCAGCAGGCGTCACGAACATGCAAGCGAGGCATGCACACCAGAGCACTGCAGTGCTCACAGTCACCAGCAGTATGTGGAGCCAAGGAGAAGCGCAGACTCACCAGCGGAGCAGGCGCCAGAGCGTGCGCGGGAGGGCGGTGGGCGGCGGGGCAGCAAGGAGCGCGAGGCAGCGGTGGAAGTCGCTGTGGAGGAACCAGGGGCGGTCGATGGCGCTGTAGAAGAACTCACAGCGCGCCCACTGCAGCACTGCCAGACACATGTGTGGTGGTGGGGGGAGGGGACCATCCACCCAATCCCTGCCCTCCCTGCCCTCCCTGCCCTCCCCGCCCTCTCTCCCCACCTGCCACAGCTCCACTCGCCTCTTCCTCCTGCCTGCCCCCCTCGCTGCTACGCGTGCCGCCCTGCCCCACGTTTCTCCTCCTCTTCCTGCCGCTTGGTCTTGCTGAGGTGGCAGCACGTGCTGTGCAGGCTGATGTGGCATGGGCAGCCACGTGGCATCCCCCCTCTGCTCCCCTTCCCCCTGCTGCGCGCCCCCATGCTCCACCTGCCCCCCCTGCGCCCCGCCCATGGGGAGGGGCAGGCGCAGAGGAGCAGAGTGCAGGGGGAAGGTGGTGTAGTTGGGCGTGGGGGGCATGGGGAGCAAGGGGAGCATGGGAGGCGTGGGGGTCGTGGGGGGCGTGGGGGTTACAGGCGGTCCAGGGGGTATGGAAGGCGGCATTTGGAGCAACAGGGGCCCTGGTGCTGTTGTGAGGTGTGGGGCGGGCGGAGGGAGGGATGCAGAGGGGCGGGGGAGAGGGGCAGGGCGGATGGGAGGCGGAGGGAGAGGGAAGGCGAGGAGGAGGGGGAGAGAGGATAGCTCAGCAGATTAGTTCTAGACCCCATGGTAGGAGTTGTTGTTGCCACTGCTGCTGTTGCTGTGGTGGCGGCAGTGTGTTGGGAGGGTGGCAGCAGTGGCAGCAGCTGTGCCGTGACTGGCCGTTGCTGCTGCTGGTGCTGCTGCTGCACAAGCCCCCCTGTGTCTGCTGCGCCTGAGTCTTGAGCTATCTCAACATAACCCACCGGACTCACGCCACTGCCTGCACCGTCCGTGTGGTCTCGTGCCATCAACTCGAGGACCACCCTCTCTTCCTCCCCTCCCCTCTCCTGCTCCTTCCTCTTCTCCTTCACCCCTCCCTCCTTCCCCTTCTTCCTCTCCCTCGCCCCAGCATCCTTCCCCTTCCGCCTCTCCCTCCCCTGCTCCCCACCAGCCGCACGTACCCCTGCAGCAGCAGGGGCAACCGGGGGAGGCACAGGTGGAGGGGCGGAGGGAGCGAGGGAGCGAGGGGGCAAGGCGCCATGCTCCTCCGCGCTCTGCCCTGCCCCCTCCTTCACCTTCCCCTGCCCCTTCCTCTCGCCCTGTGCCACCTCCTCCCCCTTCCTCCTCACCTTCACAGCCCCCTTGCCCCCCCCTGCCACCTTACCTCCCGCTCCTCCTCCCCCTCCCTGCTGCCGAGCCACCTCCCCTCCACCTGCCCTCCTCGCCCCTTCCCCTGCCACCTTCACCTCACCCCCACCTTGCCTCGCACCCGCTGCCCCTTTCCCCGCAGCCCCCACCACCCTGCCGCTGCTGCTCTGCACGCCACCACTGCCAGCCAACACAGCCACTGTCCCCCCCTTGCCCGCCACCGCACCGCTGCCGGGTCTGCTGCTGCTGCTGCCACTGCCAGGCCTGCTGCTGCTGGTGGCGCTGGCGTGTGCAGCTGCAGCGTGCTGGAAGCGCCGCAGCATGTCGTCTAGAGGCTCCTCCTCCGCCCTCGCTGCTCCCCCTGCTCCCACTGCCCCCCCTGCAGCTGCACCGGACGCTGCACCGCCTGCCATTCCTGCAGCCACGGCACCACTCATGCCACCTGGCACGCCAGCTGGCACGGGCGGCAGCACGACACTGAAGGCGCTCGCTCGAGGGGGCCGCACTGCTGCTCCTGCCGCGGCTGCGGCTGAAGGCACAGGGAGAGCAGGAGCGCCAAAGGGCATGGCGGGTGTGGGAGGGACGGCAGGGAACGTGAGAGGGGCGGGCAGAGGGGGCACAGGGGGTGGTGGTGGCGCATGCAGAGGGTAGGGCACGGGAGCAGGGAAAGCGGCGGGAGGGTGTGGCCGCCCTGTTGCCTTCTCCGGCTGGCTGCTTTTGTCCTTATTCGCCCCTCCTTTCTCCTTTGTCTCATTGCCCCCTCCTGCCATGGTCTTCTTACTCTTCTTCGCCTTCCTCTGCACGAGCCCAGCCCCTCTGGGTGCTTCTCTGCTGCCCTGCGCCCCTTCTCCCGCCCTAGCCTCACCATGCTTGCTGCCTGCTGCGCGCTGCTTCCCTGCACCTCCCCCTGCGCCCTCCCCCTCCGCCTCCTGCTGCTGGCTCGGCTGCGGGGGAGGTGGCAGGTGGTCTGAGGGTACCCGGGATGGCATGGAATGGACAGGACGGGAGATAGTCGTATTTAAAGAATTGCACGAATGACCCTGCATGTGTGTTAAAGTGCATGAATCACAAGGTGAGTGAGCAGCAGAGGTGGGAGAGAAGCAGCGATGAGAAGCCCAGTGCAAGTGCACACGGGCACTTCATACCTGTGGCAGCACCCCCAGCAGCAACACCAGAAGCAGGGCCGGCAGGGGCAACCGCAGCAGTGCTGGCAGCAGGAGCAGCAGCAGTGGCATGAGGGGCGGCAGCATGGTTGCTGGCGCGCGCCATAGCTGTCAAAGACAGGTCTGCCAACGTGGCCAGGGCATCCAATCCGGAGCTGCCACCTGGCAAGGGAAGAATTCAAGGAATTCATGTCAATGGTCGTGCATGGTGCATGGTGCATGGTGCATGGTGCATGGTGCATGGTGGAAGCTGGGAGGAGCTGGAGCCTTTAAAGAGGCGCCATTTCACTCGTCCTGTGCAGGCAAAGCATCCCATGTGCTCCCCTCCCCTCCGCTCACATCTTTCACTCACCGTGGAAAAGGCTGCTTGCATGCTCCCCCCCACCACTACCCATACCCTCCTGCACCACCTGCCCCGCTGCTCCTGCGTCTCCCCTCGTAGCCCCTTCTCCCCTTCCATCTCCATCTTCCCCAACTCGCCCCCCTTCTCCTACATGCCGCCCCCCTTCCCTCTCTTCCCCAGCACGCCCGCCCCCCACCTCTGCCCCGCTCGCAACCCCCTTCCTCTTTGCCTTTGCCTTGCGCTTGCCCAACTTCCCTTCCTTCCCTTCCTTCCCTTCCTTTCCCTCCTTCTCCCGCTTCCCTTCCTTCCTCTCCTCACTACCCTTCACCTCCTTCCCCTCAGCACCGCCCTTCTCCTCCACATTCCCTGCTCCCTTCTCTCCACTCCTCTGCACCACTGCCAACCTGCCACCACCCCTCGCCACACCTGCCTCATCTGCTCTGCTCTCGTTTTCCTCCACCTTGTCCTCTTTCCCCCCCTTTGCCTCCTCCTGCTGCTCCTGCTGCTGCTGCTGATGGCCGCAGTGACACCCGCAGACCAGCATTCGCCTCAGAGCGTCTCTTCTCTTCATCCTCCTCTGCCTCGCCTCGCCCTCTCGCCCCCACGCCACCCACCACAGCAACTGCCGATCGAGCCTTCTTAGGAGTGTGCGACCCCACGCCCCTCTGCCTGCCTGTGCCTGCTGTCAAACCCCCAACCCCCTGCCTCCCCTCGTGTCCTACCCCCCTCTCCCCCTTCCCCCGCTCCCCTTGCCCGCGGCCCTCTACTTGCCTCCCTAGTGCCTGCTGCCTCACATCCGCGCCGCCCTCCTCCCCCCCACCCCCCCCCTCCGCCCCCATTCCTCCTGCCCCCGCCCTGCTCCTCCTCCTCCTCCAGTTGCCTCTTCCTCTGCCCCACCCTGCCGCCTCCCTTCTCCTCTCCTCCCCCTGCTCTCTCCCCTTCCGCCCCTCTTCCCCCTTCCTCCCCGCCCTTGCTCCCGCCAGCAGGCACGTGAGCCCTGCGGCTGCGCTTGCCCCGAGACCACAGAGGGGCGGCTGGAAGACGGGGTAGGGGAGGGGAAGAGCGCAAGGAGAAAGTGGAGGAGGGTTGAAAATTAAGGGCGCCAGCAAGTTGAGAGGGGGTACAAGGGTGATCGCACAGCAGCACGGCTAGATAGCATCACACTGGTAATCGCAGACACACGCCTTAGCAGCGTGCGCGTGCGCACACACACACCTGCTGCTTGCCTTCCACCTGCTGTTGCCCCCTCCCGCACATCCCTCCCTTTCACAGCGCCATCACTCCCCCCTCGCCCCGCACTGGACCCCGTGCTCCTCCCAACGCTCCACTGCTGCCCCTCCTGCTCCTCCGCCCCTTCCTCCGCACTTCCCTCCTCTGCACCCCGCTTCTCCTCTCTCCTCCTGCCCTCACTCCGCCTTCCACTGCCCCTCCCACTGCCCGCCACATCACTCCCCTCCGCTCCCTCCCCTGCCTGTTGACCCCCTCTCTCCCTCCGGCTGTGACCCACGCTGTTGGTTCTGCGTTTGGTGAGAGGCCGGTGGTACTGCACCCTTGCCTCACTCTCACTCTCGCTCCTACTCTCCCTCTCCCTCTCACTCTCACTCTCACTCGCACTCGCTCCCACACTCGCACCCTCACTGCCGCTGCCCCTGTCACTCCGAAACCCAACACTCCCCCCTTCCTCCTCCCCCTCCCCCTCCCCCTCCCCCTCCGCCTCACTCCCGCTCTCACTCAAAATCCCGCCCCCCTTGCTGCTGCGGCGCACAGCGCGCCCCCGCTGTCGCCCCACAGGGGGAGGGGGGGTGACGGAGGCGGCCTGGCTGCCGTGGTCATGCCCCGCCTGCCCTGCCGCCTGCGCCTCGTCCGCTGCGTGTGGGTGCTCTGCTGCCGCCTCGTGCTGGACATGCAGTCAGGGGGTTGGTGGGAGGGCGGCGAGGGGGGGAAGGGAGGGTGGGAAGGGCAGAAAGGGGAAAAGGAAGGAGCAGCGTTGGCAGGTGCGATGGCTATAGCTTACGAGGAAGAGGGCAGGTGAAGGGTGGGAGTGGCAGTGCGTGCAGCCAAGGTGCGGCAGCGTGGGGAGGCAAAGGAACAGAGATAATGCAGGCACGGAGCGGGCAGGCAGGGGGGCCATGCAAGGGCGGGACAGGGGAGGGGCGTACGAGCATGGAGTAGTGGTCGGTCATCATGGCCACCAGCCCCACTGCCGATGCTGCTCCCTCGGGCAACGACAGGTACGCCTGCATGTGACGGCCAGCAGACATGCGGAACGCACGCAGCACGAGGGCGGACTACGATTACATAGAGCAGGGGCCTTGGAAGCTTGCACTTGCAGAGATGCAAGACTCTCTCACTGGATAGCCTTTGGGTACTGTTCACAGTGGGATCGTATGCCTGGATCATCGTACACGGTGCACGTGAGGGCGCGCGGCAGGTGGGGTGGGACTGACCCTGTTCATGTTGAAGAGCGCCTCTGCCATCTCCTCCGTTCGCCCGGGTAGCTCCGCCACCACCTGCATGCACCCAGCAAGGCGCATCGCACCAGACAAGCACCGCACCAGATAAGCACCGCACCAGACAAGCACCGCACCAGACAAGCACCGCACCAGACAAGCATCGCACCAGACAAGCACCGCCGTGCACCATGCACGGCGCACAGCAGGCGTGGATCAGCAAGCATCAAGACCCATTCACAGACGAATATGAACGGTCCACAAATAGCCTTGCGGCCTAGAGGCTAGATCAGGTGTGTCACAGGTTCAGGGGCATGATTGATTGGTGACGGTGACGATGTATGCTGTGCAGATGAATGTGACCGTGATACTAACGAAACCCGCTGCTGATATGACGTCACCCATCCACGTACATGCCCATCCGTTCTCTCCCCGCGACGCCCTCCCCATCCCCTCCCCCCTATCCCCACACCCCCATCCCCTCCCCATCTCCCCCACCTTGCGCCAGTTCTTCCCCTCGGCGCGCAGCAGGCGGTAGAAGGCGCGCAGCTCGACGTCGCTCCATACGGGCCCCAGCCGCTCCACCAGCTTGCGCCGCTGCGGGCGGCGGGAGGGGAAGATGCGGAAAGGGAAGAGACAAAACGGCGGAACTCGTGACGCATGTGCGAACGGCGACGCATGTGCGAGGCTTGCGACAGTTCGCGAGCTAGCGACCGTCGAGGGTAGGAGGAAATGGGAAGGGAAGAAGCGACTGACGGCGTGGATCATGCGAAAGAGACCTCGAACCAGACGAGCTCGCAACGAAACGAGAGCCGTAAGCGATGAATCGCGAGATGCAAACGATGACGCGACGAACGCCAAGGAAAAGTCGGAGGGCGTGAGCGCTAAACTCGGACGACGCCGCGCAGCTGACGTTTGAGGCGACGCAACAGTCACTTCTATAGAAAACCGAACTTTGGCTGTTTAATTGCTATCTTGCCTTGTGTCGCTGGGCATGGCGAGTGTCGGCGGCGCGTGGTTGCGCGTGCGCTCTCGACTGCGAGGAGGTCTTTCTGTGCGGCGCCATGGCTGACCGCGCCCCGCTACCCGTCAAGTCACGACTCACGGCGCGACATCGCGCGAAAATAATAATCGTTCCGCTAAGCGAAAAGCGGGTCTCGCACCGAAGCCTGAACGACAGTGAGCGAGGCGCGGACAAAAGCGTTAATTACAATTGGTGTGAGATTGGGGCAAAAGTTCAGCCAGGCGAGGCAAGCGCAAGGCAGAAGTTGGCTGAAGTGAAGGGAGGCGTGGCTACTGTGCTGTGCTGCAGTAACAGGCAGGGTAGAAGTGATGGAATGGAAGGGAAGGGAAGGGGACAGGGGAGGAAGAAAGCAGAGGGAGGAGCAAGACGCGGCAGAAGCAAGGAAGCAAGCTGGCAAGCAACCAACCACCCGTTTATCCCTCGGGATTGCCTTCCCGCCCTTCTCTTGCCCCCAGCAAATTTGAATCAAACCCTCAGCGCGCTCTGCCCCGAACCAGCGAATTCGCGGGAAATCGCCACCTTCGCTTTAGTTACATCGAGAAAATGGTGATATGCATAGACGTGGCCCATTACGAAAAATCTCTCAAAATAGAGGGAGCCATGAAACAATCCACTCTTTTATTAATTTCTTACAAAATCACAAGCACTGCAGGTGCTATTCGCATGCAAATACACAATAACTGAAGAAAACCCTTGATCTAAAAATAGGGCAGACAATCATTCTTTGGCAGCTGCCTCTATCTCATTGCGCCATCTCCGGTAGTGCACGCCGAGCTTGTCATAAATTACAGGGTGGTTCCACACATTGGCACCACGTCTCATCCTGTCCTGCTGCCCTACAACCAAACGCAAGTCCTCATCCAGCACCTGCTCAAGCGTTGATGGACAAAGAGAACAGCCAGACAATTTTGAGCAGACATGTTCATTGTGAAGAGTAGTTGAACATGGAATCGAACCTAGAAACACATCCACACGAGAAAACTAAAATTTAAATCGCTGAGGCAGGAACTCACCTGGTTAGCCAAGGATTTCCACAATCTGTCGATGAAGGGCACAAACTTGACCCACTGGGCGAAGTCAAGCCCCATGCGGTAGAGCAGTCGTGTCTTGCCGCGTGACGACGGCAGGCAGGCGTGCAGCTGGAACAGATGCTGCGTGCACTCCTGCGCACTGGCCTGCCCCTCCAGCTGGCCCGGCTTGACGAGCCCGATGGTGGACACCACCATGCAGGGCGGGCGGAACTCCATAGCGATGGGGTACGGGTCCCAGTGGCCCTGCAGCGCCTGCGCTGCTGCCGACTTAAAGCGAACCAGGCTGCAACAAGGAGGCACGAAGAGAGGACAAAGAAAGACGACGTTAACCCCCCAGGCAGTAAGAGCAGTCAAGTGCGGAGGGGGCAAGGCATGGGCACACACTGACCTGGGGACGGACCAGCCCTTGGCAAAGGTGGTGGTGTGAGTGAAGGGCGCGTGGGCGAGGTCCAGGAGGTTCTCCACCAGCAGCCCGTGCTCCACTGGCAGCTCTATCACTATCTGCAGGGTGGCAGCACAGCAGCACGAGGAGGGCAGGCAGGCAGGCAGAGGCACGTTTGAGCATCACAGACAGTGGTGAGTTGGGCAGGCTATACGAGAACAGGACCAAACTCCATTCACTCTGAGTTTTCTCTGCTCTGACAGGGCCAGAAGAAGCGCGGCCCTCAGGCTCACCTCAGCGTGCACGGTGTAGGAGGGGGGCGGCATGGTGGAGGGCAGGGTTTCAGTGGGCGTGGCAGAGCCAGGCCACACCCAGATCATGCCCTCGTGCTCCACACATGGCAGCGCTCGCACTCGCACGTCCGTGAGGCGCGTGGACGGCATCTTGGTGCACTTGCCACTCGGGTTGAACTCCCACCCTGCCACGCCACAGACGGAGGGCCGTCGGAGTAGGTACACCGTATGAGAGGGCTTGTTGCAACAGAAAACTGATTTTAATCAATTTTCTGGGTATTCGTGAGAGAAACGAAGTGGGACAGCTGTGGGTGAAGAAGCCATACCGTGGTAGGGGCAGACAGCGTGGCCGTCCACCACAGTGCCGATGGAGAGAGGGCATGCCCTGTGCGCACACTCATCCCGGATGCACCCTGGCTTGCCGTCTGGGCCTCTGAACACCACCCACGGCTCCTCAAAGCAGTCAAACGGAATCTGTTGGGATGGCAGCGGGTGATGGGGAACAGGCCAGCGGATGGCGAGTGAGTGAGATATCACAAGAACGGAGGCTAAAGTTCAGCATGCCGAGAATCCTGGCCGACCATTGTAAAGGAAACAACGCCCATTGCCCACGGCATCTACCCGCACATAGCGGCGCTGCCCCTGCACGAGCGCCCGCCACGCACCAGCGTGGAGGCGTCGACGTCTTTGGAGAAGGCGACGGGGAACCAGAAGTTCTTGAGCGTCTCCGCGTACTTGGGCAGCGGCCCCGACGTGTCCAGCTTCGTGCGCCGCGGGGCCTTCCCCTTCCGCTTCCCCTTCGCCACGCGCCCCTGGGAAGCCGCTGTCTCAGCGGCGCTCTGCAGCTCCGCGGGCTCCGCGGCCAGGATGGCCTCCGCCTTCTCCACTACCGCCAGGCTCCCCTCCGCTCGCCCTGTGCTAGCACTCGGCGCGCTACCCTCCGCCGCATCCCCCTGGCTGCTGCTGGATTCCCTGGGAAGAGGGTCGACGACGCGCGTGGTCTGCACAAGCGACTCCAGCTCCGCCATTCGGTCCAGTGTCTGCCGCACGCGTGCCTCCGACGCGCGCACCTGTGCACACAGGCCCGAGGCAGACAGGCGGGGACGGGGATAGCAGGGGTGGAAGGGGGATGGCGGGGGGGCGGTTGAGCGTAGGGGTGGCAGAGCGGCGGGTTGAGGAACCGAAATGGCTAGAACGGGGCACGGGAGTAGGGACAGGGGAACGCTGACGCATCGGTAAAGGGTTGATGCTTGGATGAGTAAGCGGGACGCACCTGCGCGCGCGCGGCGGCGAGCTCTTGCCGCATGTGGTGCAGCTGCTCCTCGAGGGACACGAGCGACTCCGTGTCTGACGTGGACTCCAACGACGCCACGAACACGCCCGCCGCTACCCGCCGAGCCTGCACGCGCACACGACACCGTTAGCGCTACTTGCATGCTACGACACGATAAAGACGCTACTGGCACAAAGAGGCCGTGTGAGATAAGGATGAGCGGAACACTGCTGTCTCGCACCTCATCCTGTTCGTCGCTCTGACCGCCATGCGGCACTCCAAACAGCTCCCCGGCGCTCTGCAATGCGTCGGCCACCACGGGTGCTGGCCAATGCGCCACCTACGGAATGGGAGTAGCAAGCGAAATACGCGAGACGATCAGGACAGGAATGATCGAAACAAGCAGCATGGCGCTATAGTTTGAAAGACGGAAAACACGAAATCAGGGATGCAATAGCGAGTCCGGTAAACACGGTGTGGCACTGTGCGACTGAAAGGCGGGGCGGGTCAGTGATACCTGTGCTGCTGCTCTGCCCCCCACGGCGCCAGATTGAGCCGAAATTAGACCAAAACGAAGATCGAAGCCCGCCGCCTGATCGGACCCATCCAACGACCCCTGGAAGAAAAAATACGCCGGAAAAGACAAGTCAGCTGCCTGGCGTAAGAATACAAAGATGAGGCGAGGAAAATAATGAAAAAGGAAATAAAAAATCGAATTCAAGCTTTACTAGGCACAGGGACTCACGTTGAGGGCAGCGCAGAGATCTGGTAGTAGCCCGGCAGCCGGGACAGTGGCCTCGAGCCAGATATGCGATCCACGTGCCTGCAGAGACGGGGACGGTGAGAGGAAAGCGGTTGCGAGGGATCAGCAGTCAAGAACAGACGACAGTGACATTTCAGAACATAAGAGAATAAAGGTCTGAAATGTCACCCATGACGCGAAGCAAGAATGATAGAATGTCTGGTTCACCTGGATCTGGAGGGGCTCTTGAACGTCGGCGGGATCAAGGCGAAGGATAGACGCTCGCACGGCCTGTGAGGGGAGTAAGCCGAGTCGATGCAGGCAAACGGGACGGTAAAGATAATGTGTTTCACGCGTTCCATATCGCGATTTGTACAGAAAGGGGCTGAAGGAAAGCGAAGACATATGAACAACAAACATGAACACGGTTAAAAGATGCCATTAACCCACCCTAAGGAGCTGGCAGAAGTCATGGTACTCCCTGGCGTTCATCGCCAGACTCCATCCCTCTCCGCCGACCTGGAATACAGCCAGTCGGAGAAAGGTGAAAAAAGACTAAATCATCCCCCTGTAACATGAGCTGCGTAGCTACTCGCAACTGAGACGGACAACTATGTTCTTAGCGGGTCAAGCGAACGCAGCAGCAATGCTTGAATACTACTCTGAGCGACTCCATCAATATCCCTAGGTGGAAGCCGCACCGAAGCAGCAAAACTGTCAGTTGAGTTGGGTGATGCCTCATAAGCCACACGCCACCCCTCCCCTTGAACCAACCGGAACTCTGCCTCCGGAGCAACCTCTTGCGTCGAGCAGCCTGAAAGAAGGATGCAACGATAAGCGATTTAGCTGGTGATGCTGGATTGAGACGACGGCGAAACCGAGCACGGAGACGAGTCCAGGGCTTCACCTGTCAAATCGCACTTCAGCCATGCACCATCTGCGTGGGTAAGCTTGGACCCGCTGTCGAGTGATAGAACAAGCTTATTTGCTTGGCGAATGGAAGCCTTGTCTCCTGCATTTTGACTGCTGAGGCTCATCCGAACTACTCTAGACGAAGATACATCCTGTTCTTTGGCGAATCGTCTGTCACTACGCAAGGCACGACCTCCTAGACCAGAATGGCTAGACGACAGACAGGCCGTTCGGGACGCGGTGGTACGCTTCGGGGGATGGCTGGCACCGCCATGGACAGGCTGCTTCGTGAAGCCTACTCTCTGAACCGTCGAAGCCGCCAGGGAGTTCATGGCTACACGCGAGTACGGCCTCCACTACGTACAAGAGCAGTTGCCCTTCCTAAATTACATGAACCAGGAAAGGGATCCGAGCTTGTGAAATTATCTGAACAAATAGGTCTCAGAATGCGACGACATGTTCAGTGAATGATGAGGAAGGGAATCCGTTGGTCCCGTCAAGGTGTGGTGTGGAATGTTCGGCTTGCAGCCTGCAGGAGGGGAGCACACACGGGGGAGGGGGGATGTTGTGGTGGTGGTGGCGCTGTTGCTGTACTTTGTCGCAGAGGGATGGATAACCAATCAGAGGCCTGCTGCGACGGGAACCATGCGACAGTTTTTGGAGAAGTTACGATTTCTCGTGGACAGCAACGGATTCGTTGCTAGGATCTTTCGCCATCCTTGGGTGCGTGAATGCATCGGGGCGCCCAAGAACGTACAGTTGTTGACACGCGATCCCTTTCGCGGGACATGATTGGATAGATGATTCTATCAGGATCCGGATATGACCTCTCAAAGGAGTGAGCTCAGCACCGCGGATTGCTGGCTTCATTGCAACATGGATGGGGCGAAGGGAATGCGTTGACGACACATGCCTGCATACAAGCTGAGGAAGCCCTGCATCCAAAAGCAGTTGCTACACATCATTATTAACTGTGTAACCTGGATTCACTGTAAAACTCTTTTATGTACAAATTGTATGAACGAACATCAGAGCTCAACGACACAAATATAGCATGTCAAAAATTTGTATGTAACTTCCTTCACCACCTGGGACATTCATAGTCATATGTTCGTTGACAACACATTAGAAGGTGCAGTTACCTATGAGAGTGGCAGGTGGCCGACTGTGAAGCTGGGTTATACTTCAGTAACATCACATTGGCCATTGTCAAACTTTGTCACTAAACCGGATCACCTTCTAGCAAGACAATGTCCCCAATAAAACTCGTTCCAACCTAAAGCCCTGCTGATCTAGGGACCACCACAATGGCTCCGTCTGCCTCTGTCCAAACAACTTTTACCAAGGCAGCTTATGTCGGGGACGTCTCCGCACTCGCCCTTTTGCCTTGGCCCTCCCTTACCTCCCTCCGCTATAAATCGCGCCGCACACAGCCTGGCGCCGCTGCCTCTCACGAAGAGTCGTGTGCACAGCGCGGGGGAGAGGAGAAGGAGGAGGCGCGCCAAGCAGCGGCGCGCGAGGAGCGGGCTGACCGGCACGGCGAGCAATGCGCGGACGCCCATAAATGCGCGGGAGCCCATAAATGCGCGGGCGCCGATAAATGCGCGGGCGTCCATGCGTTCGACCACCATGCGTCTGCTCTTGTGCTCGCAGGTGCACCTAGCTGCACGCGCACACAAGCCTCTTTCCCTCAAACACGCGCAAACACTCGTCTCCGCGCACCCGCCAACCACTTCTCCCTGTTCGCCACTGCGCCCGCCGCTTGCCCATTCCCGCCTTCCCTTCCGCCCTGCCTCGCCCGCGCGCCCTCCGCCTCCTCCTCCCCCGCCACGCCTCTCATCCCTCCGCCCCCCCCATCCCATCACCGTCCATCTGCACGCTCCCAGTTCGCTGCTCCCCCCCGTCCATTTCCCTCCTTCACCTCCCGCTCCCTCTCTGCCCCCTCTTGCCCCTTCACCACTCCCTTTCCCCCTCGCCCCCCCGCCCCCGCCAGCCATGGGGCCCACACTGCGCTGCTACCACCTGCCGTCGGGGCGGCTGCTGGCAGCCGTTGATGTGTTCGACGGCGTGCGCATCCACGGGATCGTGCCACGTGGCAGCAGAGGAGTGGGCGGCGCTGTGTGGACCCGCGAGGGCGAGGGCGAGGGCAAGGGGAGGGGGGAAGGGGCAGCAGCGGCGGTGGTGGTGGTGCATGGGGAGAGGCGGGTGAAGCTGGTGGTGCTGACGGTGCAGCAAGCAGCACAGGGGGCGGCGACAGTGACAGTGCGGCAGCAGGGCGCGGGGGAGCGGAGAGTGACAGTGGAGCAGGGGGGTGTGGGGCAGGGGGTGGGTGGGTGGGTGAAGCAGGGAGGCGAGGGGCAGGGAAGTGGGGGAGTGCGGATGGCGGTGGGTGCATGTGTGCCGTGCAGGGACCACTGGGTGTGTGATGCCGCCCTGCTGCCCTGCCCTGTGCACGCCCGGGCCACACAGGTGACAATACAAACGGACTCGTATGGCAGTCGATTCCTCTGTCTCGTCCAAACCCCTTGACATCCCATTCCCCCCCCTTTCTCCCCATATTTTCCCCTCAATTGTCCCCCCCCCTCCCTGCACCCCTCCCCCACCCTCCCCTCACACCCTACCCTTCCCCCTCCCCACCCCCACTTCCCCCTCCAATAACCAGGCAGGCGTGCTGGCGGTGGGGCTGAGTGACAACAGCGTGGAGCTGTGGGCCACAGCAGCCACTGGATTGGACGGGACGTGCGGCCAGGATGGCACCGGGGCATTCTCTCTGAGGCTGCTGCGCTCTGTGGCTTGCTCAGGCACGCACCTCCCCTCCCTTTGGCACCACGCCTTGCCCCCTTGCACCCTGCTGCCTTGCACCACCATTTGCAGGAAGGCAGTACTAAACCCTGGAGCCATGTCCTCAACATGCGTGCATGCATGAACCATGCCGTGCGTAACGATACAGTGTGCTCCTCAAATCTGCATGCACACTGACAGTGCTGTGACTGCTCTTGCTGTATTGCTCTGTGTCCACCCCCCGTCTCCTCTGCCAACGCCCATCCTCCCTGTTCGTGTGTGCTCGCCCCTGCACGTGCATCAGATCGCAGCCTGCTGTACGCCATGCGCCTGTCTGTGCACATGCCCACTGGGACCCCACCCCCCACACCCCACCCCCCACACCCCACCCCCCACACCCCACCCCCCACACCCCACCCCCTCTCTCTGTGTGCGCCCCTGCACGAGCATCAGATCGCAGCCTGCTGTACGCCATGCGCTTGCACTGGCATGCGCCCTCCTCACACCTGCATGTGGCGGCCGGCACCATCTTCAACCAGGTGCTATCACATTGCACACCTCTGCACCGCACAGATGCAGTGCCACACATCTGCACCGCACAGTGGGGCGACGTCACACCTCTGCACTGCACAGTCGCTTGTTGTGGCGTACAAGCCCCAACAGCGGGGGCGGGGCAGCAGGTTGAGCTCGTGCCTTGCCTTCCACTGGCAGCGCATGGCCTGTCGCCTCTGCCCCAGGTTTCACCCGCCTCTCCACACACCTCCCCCACTCCCCCCCTTGCACTCTCTGCGCCCAGCTCCGCTCCGCGTCTCCCTCACTGTCGCCCTGCACAATTCCCCCCTGTCCCATCCCATCCAATCCCTGCAGCTGCTGCTCTGGACCCTGCCTCTCCAAACCTCTGCCTGCTGTGACACTTTGGGCCGCAGCACTCAGGAGCCATGCCACGTGGCACCTTCCCATAGGTTGGGAGGCCACGAGGGGTCGATCTACCGAGTGGTGTGGCAGGAGGAGAGCGACAGGGGGTGTTGGGGAGGACATGGAGAGGGAGGGGAAGAGAACAGGAGCGGAGGAGGAGAGGATGGGGAGGGCTCAAGAGAAGAAGGCTCTGAAACCTTCACACTGATTTCAGTTTCGGACGACCGCAGGCAAGCAGGGGTGTGTTCAAGCAGGGGAGTGTTCAAGCAGGGGTCACAAAACCGTATCTCCTTGCTCTTGATTTGTTGTTGTTTCTTTCCAAGTGCCTAAGCAGTATCAGCTTGGTGCTGCTGAGTGCTGCCCCTTGTATTGTATCGCCTGCGTGTGGCCATGCAGTGCGCGCGTGTGGCGGGTGACCATGCCGGCCAACGCACCACACGCACCACAGGCGGACAGCTGTGAGGAGCAGTCATCCGTTGGTGGGGGCGGTACACACACGGTGGACTGTGCTGAGGCTCACAGGGTGCTGTTCGGCCACGGGGCTCGCCTCTGGGACGCCCATCTAGACTCTCAGGTCATCTCCTGCCCCCCTGTCCCCCTGCCCCCATCTTCCTGCCCGCTTGCCTGCCTGGCCCCCTTCCCCCTTCCCCTCGTGCCCCCCTCCCCTCTCCCCCATTGCTCCCCTCTCCCCCATTGCTCCCCTCTCCCCCATTGCTCCCCTCTCCCCCATTGCTCCCCTTCCCGCCTTCCCCAGTCTCTCCTGTCCGCAACAGCCCCCCAGCCTGTGCACTGCAGTGCCTCCCTTGTCTGCCTCTCAGCAGCTTCCCTTCACACTCTCTCCATGTGCCGCCATGTCACACCGCACCACATCACACCATCGCACCACCGTGCCCACATGCCCCCACGCCCCCACGTCCCGGCCCCTCAAGCAACCCCCCCTCCTCCCCCCTTGGTGGCATGGCAGGTGGCAGTGACGGTGAGTGAGGACTGCACAGCACGCGTGTGGTGCATCACTGATGGCCGCCTGCTCGCCCTCATCCCCGCCCACCAGTGAGATGCCATTCCATTTGTGAGTCCGTTCAAGAAGCTGCATTCTCATCCACATCCTTTCCCAGCCACGACCGCACACCATTCCCTGCAGATCCACCGCAATCAGGTCGTTTCCTTCTCTTTGCCGCCCTCATGCTTCCTCACCCCGTTCTCCCCACTCTCTGCCCCTTCCTTCTCCCTCCCATGCTGCCCTCAATCACCCATGCGTGCATGTATGGGCGAGCAGGGGGCGGGGCATATGGCGCTGTGTGGTGCATCCCCCCACGCGCACGCTCATCACAGGGGGGGCGGACGCCGCCATCAACCTGCACGCCCTCCCCGCCCTGCCCTCTCCCCGCGCCCTGCCCTCGCCCCTGCCCTCCGCATGCGCCCTCCCCTCCGCCGTGCCCGCGGCCCTGTCATGGCACCCCTCTCTGGACGCGCTGCTGCTGCGCGTCACGCCCACGGCCGCCCTCACAGGCACCACCATCGCCCTCACCTCTGCTGCTGCCGCCCCTGGCGCTCTGACAGAGGTTGAGGCAGGGAAGGAAGGGGACAGCGGTGGCAAGGATAGGTGGGTGGGTGAGTTTGACATGCGCGTAGAAGTTGGTCGCACCTTCACATCCCCGTGCCATGCCCCTCAGCATGCCCGTCAATATACCCCATCCTCCCACCAACCAAGGCATTCCCCCATGGTTCCTCTCTCCTTCCCACCACCGCATGGAGCCCCCCTCTCTCCCCGTCAGCAAGAGCGAGTTCATCCGCTGCATGGCGCTGGCGTCGCCCCGCCTGCTGCTCCTCGCCACCAACCACGGCGCGCTGCTCCTCCTCCGCCTCACCGCCTCCCCCTCCTCCCCCTGCCCCGCCCCCACTGCCCTCCTGCCCGCCGCTCCGCCATCCGCTTCCCATGCTTCCCGCGGGCCTATTGTGTGCCTCCACGTGGAAAGGGAGGAGGGGAGTGCAGAGGAGGAGGGGGAGGAAGGAGATGCTAAGGAGGGAGGGGAGGGGGGCGGAGAGATGTGGGAGGGGTGGGGGAGAAGGGGATCCGGGCGAGCAGGGCGGGGGCGGGAGAGGGAGGGGCGGTGGCGGGTGGTGTGTGGGTTTGGCATGGGACAGGCTGTGGCCCTCACCCTCTCTCTCTGGACCCTCCCTCTCCACCCCATGCACGCACACAGGGCGGAGGGTGGGGAGGGTGGAGGGGATGGGGGGGATGGGGGGAAACAAGGGGCGGAAGGTGCACCTGAGGAAGGGGGGCAAGGGGAAGTGGGAGGGGAGGGAAGACGGGCAAGTGAGTTAGGAGAGGTGGAGGTGGGGTGGTGGAGTGAGTGGCAGGCACACCACGCAAGGCGGCTTCTTGGAACCTTCTGGTGCCGCAGCCTCAGTGACAGGTGCGTGCACAGCTTGAGTGACAGGTGCGTGCAAAAGGGAACAACTGAGACATGGTGCATGGGGCATAGTTCACACCATCCCTCTTCACTATTGTTCCCCTCACCATTCTTCCTTCTCCATATCCCTCCCTCCTCACTATCTCTCCCCACCATCCATCAGGCATGTGTTCACCACGGACCCAGCGGGCGGCGTTGTTTGGTGGCACTTGGACGACACAGCACCGCCACCTGCCTCCTCCATCTGCCCTCTCGCACTTGGCACTGTTCACCTGTCCGGGCGGCAGCTGCCGGCCACAGCAGTGGCAAGGATCCAATCACCGGGCGGCGCGCGTGTGGTGTGCGTGGATGCATGCCCTCACAGCAGGGTACCACCGTCTTGCCCCGATTTGAAGTGCCCCCCATACACTTCTCGCCTTCACTGTGTGCCTGTGTCCCATCTACACCTCCCCTGTTCCATCGCCTTGTTCCCCCCCTTCTCCACCCCCCACCAGTGCCATCCCCCTGTTTCCCCTTCTCCACCCCCTACCAGTGCCATCCCCTTGTTTCCCCTTTTCCATTGCCTTGTGTGCCCCGCCCCGCGTGCAACAGCTGCTGCCAGCCTGGCATTGGGCGAATTATTCTCGTCAGGCGCCTCAATCAGAATTACTCTCCCCTCCCATCCCCCTCCGCACCCTTTCATCCTGCCGCCCGCCTGGCAGCTGCTGGCACTGGGCGACCAGAGGGGCCACCTCTACCTCTACCGCTACTCCCTCGCCGCCCCTGCTGCCGGCCACCCAGTGGTGGACTGCCACGTGGCAGCAGTGCTCAAGGGGGCACATGGCATATCTGCAGTGGCGAGTGTGACAATAGAGGGGGCAGCAGGCATGGGCGCAGCTGCAGCGGCGCTTGGCTTCACTGCCCTCATCCACACGGTGCGTGCCATGGCTGCTGTGCAGTGCGGTGCAGTGCGGTGCGGTGCGATGAAATGACCAGCGTGTGTCTATGTAGTTGTTTCCTACGGCTGTCGAATATGGCAAAGCTATCCCGCACGCGGGTTTCATTCGCATGGCTGATACGCCTCCCTGCGAGCATGCCCTCCCTCCCATGCGTTAACCCCATTACCTCATGCATCGCCACTCAAGCTCCCCTTGGCCCACCACCTCCCGCTCATCCCCACGGCTGTCAGACGGGCAGGGACGGCTGCATCTGCACCTTCGCCCTGCGCGCCCCGCCGCCACCCCCACCGCTTGCCCCTGCACCTGGCCCACCTCGCGGCTCTACGGGCATGGCATGTGCACCTGACAGTGGGGGGGCCGACAGGGGCGTGCAGCAGACAGGAGAGCAGCAGGGTGGAGTGGTGTGTGTGGGCGTGCAGCGAGCAGGGGAGGTGGGCATGGTGGAGCGCGTGGTGCGGGTGAGGGGCGGGGGAGGAGGACGCAGGGCAGGCAGGGTGGCGGTGGGGTTTGCAGCAGCGGACTTTGTGGTGTGGAGTGTGGACGAACAGACAGAGGTGCGTGGGGTTGGTAGGGTTTGCAGCTTCCACGGCCACATTCCTTTGACCCCACGGCCACATTCCTTTGAACACAGGGCTTGCTCCACCCAACCACCCGTGCCCCAAACCTGTGTTCCTCCCCCCTCCCACCTCATCGTCTATTTCACCCTACGGCCCTCCCACCCCCCTGTCAGGTGGCGCGCATAGCATGTGGGGGATGGCGCCGCCCGCACTCCTTCCTCATCGATGCGCACTGCATGGGGTCCTTCGCATTCGCCTTCCTCAAGGTGATGCCATGCCATGCCACGTGATGCCATGCCATGCCACGTGATGCCATGCCATGCCACGTGATGCCATGCCATGCCACGTGATGCCATGCCATGCCATGGCTATGGGGTTGGTGTGTAGAGGTGCATGGGTTGCACCTTATACCATGGCGTTCCACTGCACCGTCTGCCACCACATCCTGCCTCTTACCCCTCATTGCCCTTCTTGCCCCATGCCCCAATGTCCACATGCCCCATCCCCATGCCCCATGCCCCATGCCCCATGCCCCATGCCCCATGCCCCATGCCCCATGCCCCATGCCCCATGCCCCATGCCCCATGCCCCATGCCCCATGCCCCATGCCCCATGCCCCATGCCCCATGCCCCATGCCCCATGCCCCATGCCCCATGCCCCATGCCCCATGCCCCATGCCCCATGCCCCATGCGCCACACCCACCAGGGCAGCCATGTGCACGTCCACCGCACCTCACCTGCTGCCACACACGCCGCCCTCCCCTCCCCACACGCGCCTCCCCCCCCGCCCCCCTCCTCCCTGCATCCCACCTTCCACGGCCGTGAGCTGCACTCTCTCGCCCTCGTGCCTCTGCCGCATCGCCCCTCGCCCTGCACCCACACCCCCTCCTCCTCTTGCCCTACTCCGCTGCGCCCCTCCCCGCCCTGCGCCTCGCTGCTGCTCTCGGCGGCTGAGGATGGCTGCCTGCGCGCCTCCCTGTGAGTGATCTGTTTTTGAGGCGACTCAAAGAAGGGGCATGGAGGCATGTGTGTGCTGTGGGAACACAGTGGGGCGAGGGGGGGTAATCTCGCTGCACTGTCTTCAGAATTGCAACATCTTCCTCTCCATTGCATGCCTCTTGTGCGCCCACTCTTTCATTCCCCCCCCTCGTTGCCCTACGCCCACTGCTGCTCGCATGTGTCATTCGCCCCTTCCACGAGTGTCACATGTGCCAGTGCCCTCGACCTCCATCACTAACACACTCCACCTCCCTACCCTCACCGCCTCCTCGCACATCCCCCTATACCACCCCCTGCAGGTACGACGCCACCTCAGGGGAGGAGAGCGGGGGGGTGCTGGAGGGCAGTGAGCGAGTGGGGGAGCACGTGGGGGGGAGCGCCATCAGAGCCATTGCCACGTGCGCTGCAGAGGGCAGCAGCAGCAGCGGTGGTGGTGGTGGTGGTGGTGGTGGTGGTGGTGGTGCCCCCTCGTCGTGGCTTGTGTTCACCGCTGGAGCGCGCGAGGTGCTCATGTGCTGGCTGCTGCTCTGCCCGGGCCCCATTCCCCCGCCTGCTGCCCCGTGCCTTGCTCTTGCCCCGACCTCCCCACACACTGGGCAGCAGGGAGGGCAGGGGGAGGGGCAGACGGAGGGGGAGCAGCAGCGGGTTGGGAGAGAGGATGTGGGAAGCAGAGGGGGGGGATGGGAGGATGTGTTTTTGAAAGGAGTGCAAAGGAGCAAGGCCGAAGGCGGGGGTGGAGCAGAGGCAAGAAGGGGGGATGGAGGAGCGGATGGGCGGCAAGTTTTGTCATTTTGGTTGAGCACACACCGGCCAGATAAAAGGCGAGTGGTGCCGTGTGGTGGTGGGAGCAGCATCGACAGTGTGGAGGACGATGTGCGGTACCTGAGCGTCACGGCATTCTCCTTCGGCAGCTTCTCCCAACGGTGGGTGCTCTCAACTCAAGCCCGTGCATGCACACTCATGGGCGCTCACCCCATGCTGCTTTGCCTGCAACTGCTCTTCCTCGTGCCACCACTGCTGGGCCTTCAAGCCACTCACCCTCCCTCTCTCAACTCAACCCCTCCACCCCCACCCTCCCTACCCTCTCCCCCTCTTCCTTCGCCCCACCCCTTTCCTCCACCCACCCATGCAGCTCACTGGTGGCGGTGGTAGCAGCGGCCACATCAGACGCGCACCTGCATCTGCTGGCCTTCCACGCGCCGTCCCTCTCCTGGCACCGCCTCGCCTCCCTGCGCCACCACACCTGCCCCGTCCTCTCCCTCCACCACCTCCTCCTCCCCTTGCACCCCGCCCCCACTGCCACCTCCCCCTTGCCTGCTGACCCCACCGCTGACCCCACCACTGCCCCCACCACTGCCCCGACCGATGCCCCCACCGCTGACCCCACCGCTGACCCCACCGCTGACCCCACCGCTGACCCCACCGCTGACCCCACCGCTGACCCCTCGCTGCCTTCTCTACCGCGCTGCCTCATCACCAGCGGCGCAACGGACGGCTCTGTGGTGCTCTGGGATGTCACCGCCCCTGTCACCCAATTCCTGCACGCCACGTGGCATGCTGCCTCGCATCCCCCCCCACTTTTTCCCTCATCCTTATCCTCAACAAAAGCAGCATCAGCAGGTGCAGCAAGGGGCGGCAGCTCGGGGGCAGTGAGGCCGGTGAGTGGGCGAGGCAGTGAGGGGGGGCAGCGCAGGAGGAATGCACGTTGGCACTTGCAGGGGGGGGGGAACGGGCACAGGCAGGGCGGAGGGAAGGGGAAGGGGCAGGGCGAGGGGCTTGGGGGAGAGAGGAGTGGTGGCAGCGAGACTGGGGAGCAGTCAGGGCGAGAGGGGGATGAGCGGCGGACAGGGATGGGAGAGGCAGGAGGGGACGAGGCTTGTGGACTGGTGGTGGGGCGTGGAGACCAAGGGAAAATAGTGGTGAGGGAGGAGGGAGTCGAAGAGGAGGAGAGAGGGGAGGGGGAGGTAAGAGAGGAGGTGGAGGAAGGTTCAGAAGGCAAGGGAAGTGAGGAGAAGCAGCATGTCAGTGCAGAGGCGCAGGGGTGGCCGTGTGTGGACGTGGGTCCACTGTGCGTGGTGAGGGGCGCCCACCAGTCCGGCGTCAACTGCATTGCCGCTGCTGCTACCGCCACGGCACGGAGGGGCCACTGGCAGGGGCAAGAAACGCGAGGGGATGGGGGGATGGGGGATCGGGGGGGATGGGGTGGATGGGGTGGAAGATAGCGGGGTGAGGGGCGTGGGGCCGGCACACGTGGTGGTGGTGAGTGGGGGCGACGACGAGGCTGTGCATGCTGTGGTGCTGCACCTGGACTGCACGGGCGCCGGGCACAGCGCGCATGCAGGACGTTCCGAGGGGCTGGGCGCAGAGGAGGAGGAAGAGGGGGGAAGTGAGGGGGGAGAGAGGGGAGTGGTGGCGCGAGTGGTTGCACGGACATGTCAACGGAATGCTCACTCTGCTGCTGTCAAAGGTACCCATACTCGTGCCAATCACGTTGTTGCTGTCACCCAGCCAGCCATGTGGCGTGCTCATTGCGAAGCAGCAGTTTCGCCATCACCAACCCTTTCGACCTCTTGCCCCCATCCCTCACCCCTGCCCCACGTCATGCCTTGCCACATCATCCTATACCACAACATGCCATGACATGCCATGCCATGCCCTACACCCCCCGGCAGGCATCTGGACGGATGGGCAGGCGGTGCTGTCTGTGGGCCTGGACCAGCGCCTGCGCTGCTGGTCCCTCTCCTCCAATCACCACGCGCCACATGGCGAGGCAGGCGGTGAAGAGGCAGCTGCAGAAGGGAGATGCAGCGAGGAGGGGCAGAGGGGCGAGAGGGGGTGTGCAGGAGAGGAGGGAGGGGTGGCCGTGGAGAGGAGCAGGTTGGATGTGGGGGAGGTGGTGTGTGGGGTGGGGGAGGCAGGGGCGCCTGTAGATGAGATGAGGGAGGAGGGGGTGCAGTTGGAGGGCAGGGGGCGGTGTGTGGTGGATGTGCCCGAGGCAGAGGGGCTGGCGGTGATGGGTCAAGGCAAGGGCAGGTGAGTGGCTCATGGTGGAGGGGAGTCAGTCAGTATGTGAGCCTGTTTTGTTCTTGCACACATGCATGACACGTCAAGGTATTGCGAGTTAGTTCGATGCATCATGCGCTTGTGTTTGAATCCGATGCGTGTGTGCTTCAGGTACTTGGCAGCGGTGTGTGGGCGAGGTATGCAGCTCATTCACTGCACGGAGTTGGCGCCATGACTTGACACGTGCAAATACACTTTCTGCTGCTCGACCAAGCCAACTGCATCAGTGTAGCAAGCCTTAAGGACGATGTTCCATAATGAGAATGTTACCAAGTTCCTGTTGTCAGCTCATCAGCTTAGTAAAACTTTCTCGCATTCAGCGGAAGTTGATAGCAGCATACGGTAGGTTAAGGTTAATCACTATGGCAGCATACATCCAATACACTGTGCCACTGCACCACACGCTCTGAACCTAGCCCTCGTACACGGACGCCTCTCCTCCACTGCCCACGGCCCGCCGCACAGCCTCTCTGATCTGCTGTGCCAGGCGGCGGTGGCCCTCCTCCCTCAGCGCTGCGCGGTACTTCTTATCCACGAAGATGCGCTTGCCGTCCACACCAGGACAGGGGAAGTACCAGAGGCGCACAGTGTAGCCGCACGCGTGTGCCACCGCGGGGTCTGCTTGCTTGATGCGGTGGTCCCGCCCCACCTCCCTGTGGCACCCGCACTGCCCCGTGTCTGCTTGCAACGCCTCCTGTAGCCGCCGCCGCTGCTGCACTGCCCCGTCCCCCACACCTCTCGTTTGCGGCTGCTGCAACCCCTTGCCCTGCACGGGCAGCTCAGCTCCCTCTCCTGCCATGCCCTCACCCGCCGCACAGTCCTGTGCACTCGAGTTACTGTAGCTGCTGCCTGCACGGCAGTCCACATTCAACAAGCGCCAGCGTCGCTCCTGCTCTTGCTGCCCTTCCGTCTCCTCCTTGCGCTCCTGTCTCCGCCTCTTCTGCTCCTCCCTCCGCCGCTTCAGCTCCTCCTGCTTCTGCCGCCGCCGCTGCTCCATCTGCTGGCGGCGGCGCAGCGCATGCTCCTCCTCGAAGCGCCCCGTGCCGCACACGCGGTCGATGAGCTCCAGCTTGTTGTCTCGCCCGTACGCCATGCCTGCCGGGAATGGGCGCGCACAGCATGGGTGCAGGGGCAGGGCATGGGGTGCACGGGCATGGGTCATGGGTCATGGGTTATGGGCATGAGGCATGGGTCATGAGCATGGGGAATGGGGCATGGGTCATGAGCATGGGGAATGGGGCATGGGTCATGAGCATGGGGAATGGGGCACGGGGCATAAGGATGGCTGTTGGCATGTGTTGCATGAGCGGCGGGTGCTCACCCTCGGTGTAGCGGTGAGGCGAGTCGTTGCGGAAGGCGACTTGGCTCTCCCACATCTGCGGGGCGAAGCGCTGCAGCGCGTGGAAGCGCGTGCGCGCCGCCAGCCAGCGCGGCGACTGCTCCTCGTGCACGCGGTACATGGGCACCTGGGGGGCGAGGGGCATGGGGGCAGGGGGCAGGCGCGCAGGGGGCAGGCGCGCAGGGGGCAGGGGCGCAGCACAAGTACGGAACGTGAATGAGGTGCCGCATAGGGCACTCGTCAGCACATGCTACACAACAAAACACGGGAGCACGGGAACATGGGAGCGGTGGCGTAGGGAACCCTGGTTGATAAAAAGGAAAGGTGCTGCACATGTTGCACAACAACTTGCCATGCACATACCCTCTCACACCACACCCCACCACTCCCAAGCGCACCTTGAAGAGCTTCAGCCCGGCCCTCTCATGCCTGAGAGCGGCGTGGCGAATGAGGTCCCAGGCGTGCGCGGTGATGAACTGGTTGCCGTCAAACGCCAGCACCCACCGCGCCCCCGCCGCCCTGCCATGCTCCAATATGAAGTTGCGCGCCTCGTTCTGCGCTGCTCTGCCCCCATGCCATGCCATGCCATGCACACCACACCACATGCCCCACATGCATCATATGGCCACATGCCCCACATGCATCATATGGCCACATGCCCCACATGCATCATATGGCCACATGCCCCACATGCATCATATGGCCACATGCCCCACATGCACATGTCCACATGACATACACACATTAGCCATGCCATGCACACGCATCCACCACACAGCACGTGCAGCAAACAGAGCACAATGCTCAGCTAGCACAGATGGCAGCAGGGAACAGGCAAGAAAATAATCAAGTGACAGGCTGTGATGGAAGGTTAGGGTGGGATGCAATGATGAGGTCAGGGTGGGATGCAATGATGAGGTTAGGGTGGGATGCAATGATGAGGTCAGGGTGGGATGCAATGATGAGGTTAGGGTGGGATGCAATGATGAGGTTAGGGTGGGATGCAATGATGAGGTTAGGGTGGGATGCAATGATGAGGTTAGGGTGGGATGCAATGATGAGGTTAGGGTGGGATGCAATGATGAGGTTAGGGTGGGATGCAATGATGAGGTTAGGGTGGGATGCAATGATGAGGTTAGGGTGGGATGCAATGATGAGGTTAGGGTGGGATGCAATGATGAGGTTAGGGTGGGATGCAATGATGAGGTTAGGGTGGGATGCAATGATGAGGTTAGGGTGGGATGCAATGATGAGGTTAGGGTGGGATGCAATGATGAGGTTAGGGTGGGATGCAATGATGAGGGGTTAACACTTGTCACAGCCTCACCTGTGACAGCCTCACCTGTGACAGCCTCACCTGTGACACCCTCACCTGTGACAGCCTCACCTGTCACAGCCTCACCTGTCACAGCCTCACCTGTGACAGCCTCGGTCCAGGAGGCCTCAGGAAGGGTGGAGATGTGCGAGTAGTTGATCCGACGGACAAGAATGTCCTGCCACGGCGAGATGAGGGGAGAGAGGAGTGGGAGGAGAGGAGTGGGAGGAGATGAGTGAGGAGAGTGGGGGGCATCCCTTTCTCCCGCATCACACTGTTTTTCCCCTGCGCCCAACTGTGCGCCCCTCTGTGCGCCCCACTGTGCGCCTCCCTGTGCGCCCCCCTGTGCGCCCCCTTGTGCGCCCCCCTGCGTCCCCCTGCGCCCCCTGCGCCCCCCTGTGCGCCCCCCATGCGCGCCTCTGCGCGCCCCACATGCGCGCACCTGTGGCGCCACGCCGTGCGCGAGCAGCGCGTCCAGCAGCAGCGCGCGCTCCGTGCCGTTCACCACGTGGTTCAGCACCCACAGCCGCCGGCAGTCACGCAGCGCGCGCGCCTCGTGCTGCAGCGCGTACAGCGTGTTGCGCAGCAGCTGCCCCGCGCACTGCAGCGGCGCCATGTTGTTGCCGATCAGCCGGTACAGGAAGAACCGCGCCGTCTCTTGCGCCGTCTCTTGCGCCGTCTCTTGCGCGGGCGCTTGCGCCTCTGCTGCTGCCTCCGCTGCTCCCCGGGCGACCTCGCTAGCGTCATCCCCATCCCTTTCAACTCCCCCCGACCGATCTGCTTCGTCGAGGGGAACCCCTTCCTCCCCCGCCTCCGTGTCTCCCCATTGCGTCCCGTGCGCCCCGTGCGCCCTCTGCAGCCCCCGCGCCCCTTGCGCGCCGTGTGCGCCATCTGCCGAGCCGTTGCGACCGCCAGCTGCGGACAGGCGGGGCGCCGGGAAGAGCGGCGAGAGGAGCGGGGCGCAGAGGGCGGAGGGGGAGGCGGAGAGAGCCCAGAGCGCGAGCAGCGCGAAGGCGACGGTGTAGGCGAGGAGCAGCACGAGGGGGGCACGCGGAGAGGTCGCGGAGGGCGCGGGTGCTTGGCATACATGGGCTCTTCGATGTTTCATGGCCGTTGGAAGGAGGCTTGGGCGAAGCAGTGTGCGCGAGGTCAAGAGGCCAGCTGAAAGGTGAAGGTACCGAGGTGCGCTTGTAATGGGGCCCTTCGGTCCATATGCACCTGCATTCTAGATCTTGAAATACCTCCAAACACGATCAATTGTGAACTAGCGCATCCTGAGTGTTATGTTTGTGGGTTCTGCTAAAAAGGGTGTGAAGAATGCAATAAAGGAAGTGATTACAACTACACAACAAGTGAAGCCAACCAAAGATATAGCGAAAGTTAGCTAGGTTGGGTTCGTGGAACCGTGAATGGTTGGGTGCAGGTTCGGGGTTGGAAAACCCGAAGGCAAGGTTAACAGACTGTCAAATGTTGTAGCCTCTAGTGAGGCATGTCATGAGGGGTACAGCTGTTAGGGTTAGGTTTATGTATCCCAAACCAATCTTAGTCAAACATTCATTCGGTTCTTGACATGGTATCACCTAGATTAGGATTCTGTGGGATCTCATTCCTCTCATTTACGTCCGTCGCGCCCGAGCTTGTCCCGTACCCTAGTTTTAGTCACGCCCTACCGTACGTGAGCCTGTCTCGTACTGTGCCCTAGCGCCCGCTGTGCCTGCCGTTCGCGTTGCGCCCGCTTTCCCCGTCGCGTCGCGTTCCCCCCCCCCCCCCCCTGCCCATCCCGTCCGTCCGTCCCGTCCCTCCCCGTCCCGTCCGTCGCGTCGCGCCCCTACCGTCCTATCAGTCGCGTCGCGCCCCTGCTGTCCCGTCAGTCGCGTCACGCTCTTGTCGTCCCGCCCGTCACGCCTGGCAGCCACGTCGTGCCCATCCCGTCCGTCCCGTCGCGTCGCTTGGCGACGTCTCGTCCCGTCGCGTCGCTTCCGCCGCGCCCGTCCCGTCCTGTCTGTCGCGCAGCGCCACGACGCGCTCGTCCCGTCCCGCGCGCATCCCGTCTCGCGCCCGTCCCGTCCCGCTCTGTCTCGCCGCGCCACGCCCGTCACGTCCCGTCGCCCCGCGTGTCCCGTCCAGCCGCGTCGCGCCAGTGCCGTCCGTACCATCGCCTGTCCCGTTCCGCCCTACCCTACCGTACCGTCGCGCCCTAGGCTTCACGTACTGCCTGTCACGCCCTTCTCAACCCCACTTAGCGTTTAGGGTTTCGACAATTCCAGTTCCCACCTGTTCGCAATAGCTATGGCGACCCCTAGGGTTCTGTGCTTTGATGCCGAGGGTAGGGCGCTCGAGTTTTCGGTCTGGCTCCTGCGTGCGCGCCGCCTCCTAGAGAGTCAGGTCCAGGTCGACGAGTCTCTGTGGGCGCACGCTTCCGGTGACCTTCCTGCGCCCCCTGACCCTGCATCCTTAGCTGCCGTAATCTAGAGGAACAGAAAAAAAATAGAGGCATCCAATACAGTGGACCAATCAAAGTGGTGCGTTGGGCATTCGGGCAGTATGCACACCTATAATGGGGGTACCAGGCAGAGTTCGGGCGCTCAAATCGTGCAAACCACAAGGAATGAAATGGAGCCACCTTTTGTGGATGTGGAAAATAGTATAATCTAGTGGACTAGGAAAAAAAAGAGGCATCCAATGTAGTGGACCAATCAAAGCGATGCGTTGGGCAGTCGGGCAGTATGCGCACCTATAATAGGCGTACCAGGCAGAGTTCGGGTGCTCAAATCTTGCAAACCACATGTAATGAAATGGAGCCACTTGTTGTAGATGCAGAAAATAGTCTAATCTAGAGGAGTAAAAAGAAAAGAGGCATCCAATGCAGTGGACCAATCAAAGCGATTCGTTGGGCAGTCGGGCAGTGTGCGCACATATAATGGGCGTACCAGGCAGAGTTCGGGCGCTCAAATCTTGCAAACCACATGGAATGAAATGGAGCCACTTGTTGTGGATGTGGAAAATAGTATAATCTAGAGGAATAGCAAAAAAAAAAATGAGGCATCCAATGCAGTGGACCAATCAAAACGATGCGTTGGGCAGTCGGGCAGTATGCGCACCTATAATGGGCGTACCAGGCAGAGTTCGGGCGCTCAAATCTTGCAAACCACATGGAATGAAATGGAGCCACTTGTTGTGGATGTTGAAAAAAGTGTAATCTAGAGGATTAGAAAAAAACAAAGCATTCAATGCAGTGGACCAATCAAAGTGATGCGTTGGGCAGTCGGGCATTATGCGCACCTAGAATGGGCATACCAGGCAGAGTTCGGCTGCTCAAATCTTGCCACATGGAATGAAATGGAGCCACTTGTTGTGGATGTGGAAAAAAGTCTTATCAAAAGGACTATGAAACAAAAGAGGCATCCAATACAGTGTGTTAGAAACTAGAGACAGGAATGACTTGAATTGAAACAGAGTTGGGTACATATCCTAACCCTAACATTGGGTTGTACCCTTTATGGGCTACCCCACTACAGCCTACACAAGTATATAACATATACAGTTTGACACACCCCCATAGGCAAAGTGGGGGAGAACAAGGGGACACAGGTTCAGTCAAGAAACGCAAGACAAGCTCAGGGTTGATTACAACGTCACCACACACACTGAGCACAAACAAAGGGCCACAAGGCTTGTCCACATGCAGAGATATATATATGCAACAAGAGCAGTACAGTGATCAATACCTAGCAAGAGCAAGCATGCAGGTATAAATATAGAGCACAGTACACACAAAGGCTACAGCAAGTGTGGAAACGTAGGCACAAGGCCTAACAAAGTACAAAAGCATTGATGATCACCAGACGGAAGTGCCTTGGTGAATATATCAGCAGTGTTGGCCCGAGTGGCCACGTGTGCAAGACGAAGCTGACCACGCTGCTGCAACTCTCGAGCCAGGAAGTAACGCAGAGCGATGTGCTTCGTTCTGTGCTCCATTCTGTGCTCCTCACACAAGGCAATGGCAGCCTTGTTGTCGACGTACAGAACTGGAGGAGAACGAGGCCGCTCTCCCAGGTCGGTCAGCAGGTAGGTGAGCCAGCGTAACTCCTGAGCAGCCATGGCGGTGGCATAGATCTCAGCCTCACAACTGGAGCTCAGAACAGAAGACGAGCGAGTAGAACGCCAAGAAACAGAACCAGAGCCAAGGCTGAAAGTGTAACCCTGTGACGACCGCTGCGTAGCCTGGTCGTCAACCCAAGAAGCGTCTGAGTGCCCAGTGAGGACCACGTCTCTCTGCCCTCCAAGCACGAGCCCCATGCCCGATGTACTGCACAAGTAACGCAGTACCCTCTTCGCAGCATCCATGTGCACCTTTCGGTGTCGACCAGGAGCCACGTAGCGTGCCAGAAGGCCAAGAGGGTACGCGAGGTCAGGACGAGTGCAGGTCATCAGGTACATGAGGCAGCCCACTAACTCCGGGTAAGGACCACTTGGCTCTACGGACTCGTCCGAAGGTGGAGCTGAGAGCGAGTGACCTGTAGCCAAAGGAGTGGATTGCGGCGAGGACCAGGTGATGCCGAAGCGTTGAAGGACCTGCTGCACCATGTGTGACTGAGTCAGAGTGATGGTGCGGCGTGCTCACCCAGGTCTGTGCACGTGTGTCTCTTCTGCAGCTCCGACTTCACCAGGGCGAGAGCCTCAGTGTCAGCAGTGGCAAAGACCAAGTCGTCGACGTACACGAGGATGTAGAACGACGGCAGCGAAGTGTCGGTGCGCAGGAACAGTGACGGGTCAGCAGTCGAAGGAGCAAACCCAAGAGTCGCAAGTGTAGTTCTCAGTGTGTCGTGCCACTCACGAGGCGCCTGGCGGAGACCGTAGACTGGCCGCCGGAGGCTCCACTGGGTACCAGGAGGGAACGACCCAGTGAAGCCAGGTGGGCGGCACAGCCAGATCTCCTCGTGCAGACTGCCCTGTAAGAAGGCTGTGCTGAAGTCCAGCGAGTGAAGCTCGTAGTCACGCTGTGCGGCAACGTGCAGCAGCACCCGAAGAGTGGTCATCTTCGGGGTGGGGGAGAAGGTCTGGAAGAAGTCGACTCCCTCTCGCTGACTGAAACCTCGAGCAACGTAACGAGCCTTGAAGACAGGCGGAGAACCCGGCGGCCGCTTCACCATGAAAATCCACATGCCATCGACGATGTTCGCCCCGGGAGGGGGAACCTCATCGACGTAAGTGCCTGTGGACTTCCAGGATGCCATCTCTGCGTCCATGGCTGTCTGCCACTGAGAGGAGTACTCACCCGCGATTGCCTCAGCGTAAGAGCGCGGGGTCGGGATGTCTACAGCATCCGGGTCTCCCTTAGGGGCAAGCAGCATGGCCACGAGATGAGGCGCAGCGGCTGCAAGACACTCAAGGTCCTCGTGCCTGTCCTCAAGGACGTCCGTGCCAAGAGCACACTCACCCCCGACGGACGGAGGACAGACAGACTCTGACTCAGCAACAAGACTAGCAGCGTAGTCGAGACGACAGGCATCAGCAAAGTCAACAAGCTCAGCGACCAGGGCAGACGCAGCAGCAGACTCAAACGACGGGTCAGTGACAACAGTGGCTAGCAGACGCGTGACAGTAGGGTGCTCAGCACGAAACCGGTCAGACTCAGGGTCTGCGACGTCAGGCAAAGAGGACGCAGGGGGAGACGGAAGAGGAGGACGCTCCGGAGTAGGGGACCGACGCAGGGCTACAAGGCGTGTGCCGGGGACAGCCGGCTGACGCTGACGAGGAACACGACGACCGGTACGACCAGGACGAACAGGCGAGACAGGACGCGACGCAGGCTCACGACGCTCAGCAAGACCCCCTGCCTGCTCAGTGTAAGGAGAAGGAGCAGGCAGCGGTGAGCCAGGCTGTAACGGAAGACCAGTAGACGAAGGGAGACTAAGAACCTGGCAGTGCCACCAGCACCAGCAGCTCCAGCACCCCCAGCAGCTCCAGCACCTCCAGAAGCTCCAGAAACCCCGGCACCAGCACCGCCAGGACCAGCTCCACCAGCAGCAGCACCCCCAGAACCTGCACCCCCAGTCCCAGGGTCTCCAACCGCAGTGTCTCCAGCAGCAGCACCCGCAGGCTCAG